AGACGATTACCACTTGTCATAACGTTGTTTTCCATTCCAGTTTCCATAAAAAACACACAGATAGAGTTTTACGTAGTTGAAACGGCGTAATAAGTTGGGGCACGGGTCGGCAGCGTCGGGCGGTAAGAACCCAGAACTTAGCTCGACAATAAAGTTGAAAAATCGTGAGGATTGCTGCGATGCGGGTGTCGCCAAGAAAAAACGACGCTTACATTTCGCACTTAATGAAACTGTAGCTGAAACAAAATAAAGGAATGTCGTACCTATTTACCGCGTGCCGCTAACTGTAGTTATATAAGGGGCGCTTTGGGAACTTAATGCGTACTTACTTTCACGCCGCGGCCCTTTAAGTGATATTCGGATGTGTTTGTGTGTGTCTAATTATTTTTATGCTATGTAACTGGCTGATATTCATACAGCCCGCTTGATATTTAGAGACTTACATATACCTATGTATATTTTGAGACATAGTCCCAAAATGATATATTTAGTTATCGACACATAACATTAAATTTGGTATTTTATGTAACAAATATATTTTTTTCCTTTGCGTCTATATTAGCGATACTCGTCCGCAGTTATACTTTCTGTTCACTTTCCATTGAGTCTGACTTCTTTTTTTCTTTTTACTCGGATCCTAAAAGCAGCTTGTGGCTGCAAATATGAATCGTGTTTATCATCTTAGCTTACTTTCTTCAAGTATTCGGCTATCGAATGCAAAAATTCATCATAATCATTCACACTTCAGCTTTACATATTAGTGTGATTAATACCGATTATGTTTATAAAGTGTCCCAGTTTATACATATTTTTATTTATCTACATTCTATATAATATATTGATTGCAGATAGATCATAATTTTCTCATAACTAAGTAGTTTTGTAAGTAAAAGCTTTGGAGCAAATCTCAGTGCATTGTAGTGTCAACCAGACACGCGCAGATTGGTGTATCTTTGCCTCCAGCCTCCGGCCGGCTCCAGGGCTACACGAAGCGAGTCCGACCACGCGACAGCGCGGTTCGGCGATGTGCAACTTTTAATTACTTCGCTCTTACTTTACTATCTAGTTCGTCCGACGAGGCTATTTCGTCTCTCTACAGAGAGTCTATTTAATGTACTGTTTATAATATTTTCTCCTGAATGAATCTCATAGTGAGTAAAACATGATGGTTATATTATGTTTTACTCACTATGAGAAATGAAACTATAGAATGATTTTAATCTAAAATCTTAGTACATCCCCGTCTTCGATCAATATTCATTAATGGGTACAATCTACTACATATATTAAACTGAAAGTTTGAGTTATTACGAAGCACTTAAGATCAATCTAACTCGTAGTTCATTGGTATTCAAACATTCAATCTTAGAATTTCGGATCAAAATATTCATTTGTTGTAGCGTTAAAAGTATTTATTAAATTTTATACGGTTAAAATTTAAGTTAATGTACAAATATTGGTAGTTCCAAATATTCTAAACAGCATGTATTATTGTTAAGAATAAAGTATTTTAAAAAGCATTAACGATTATTTTTTAATATTTTTATTACAGTTATTAAACCATATAATCATTCTTAAAATACCTTATCGTTTTAGCACAGATAACATAATATTACATGTTTAGTATGCCCAACGAGGTAGACTTTTCAAAAAGTCGTCTGCATGGGTACCTGTAAGGTATATTTTGGTTGAAGGGTGAGATAAGATAGTCAATTTACGGGATATGGAGGTATGTCATTTTAATCATTCATAAGAGCAAAGCATGAATGGTGTCACCCTTGATACACATGACACGTGACGTCCTCGGTATTATTCCTGTATATAGGCGACGGTTACCACTTACTATCAAGTGCGCCATCGCATCGGCTTAGTTCAATTATAATTAAAAAAGAAAGTATTTTCAGACGTATTTAGTATATTTTTAGTAGTAGATGGTATTTGATTTATGTACAAACAAAACTAGGCACTTAAGTTGAACATTAAGTTTGATTTAGTGTTAGCTGTGATATATTATGTTATAATATGAACTGTCACCCCATGATCATCAACGTCACTCATGTTATATCAGTTTATCGTAAAAATAGGTAAAAAATTGTTCTACAGTTAATGTTGTTTACATTTGAAAAACGTAAGTATGTATATATTGGGACTTTTCTATACTAATATTTTTTCCCTTCCATGAATTATTACTGAATGACTGATGTATAACTATCTTTATTATAATATATATCTTTATTAAATGAAAAATATATAATGATACTGATGCCTACTATTACATAAAAATTGTATGTATGTGTAGATAAAAATATAAATACAGTAAGTATTATTGAATATTTAGATAAATAACTGAATATTAAATATTTACCTGAATATTAAATATTTAAATATACCTACAAATCCTAAAGTTAACATACATTTACTTCACCTTTACGACCACTCATGTAATATTAACTTTGTTTCCATTACATTTTACGTAAATGTACGCACCTAATAAACTTTTCCCTTGGCATTTAAACCAAGTCACGCCTACACAGGTAAGTCAATCTTCCAATCTCTACTAGCTACTAGCGAATATTATTATACTCACGCAAACTGGCTCACTAGATAAAGTGGCAGAACGAAAGGTTAGCAGACATCAAGGTGACCTGCACAATCTTTGCTTTATCGCTCAACTGAGCTTATCTCTTAAACTACGATATAGCTTGAATACAATTAATTAGGTAGGTATTTCTATATTGCGAAATCTTAATAGACTGTAGATGAAATAGTAGATGTATTCTGTGATACCATTTTTGTAATCTGTAAAAGCACTTAATTTTTGTTGAAAGGCATTATTAAGGAAACTATATTTCATATAATAAACAATTGTATACTGTAATTATGATATTGTCTGGCCGTTTGAACTGCCAGGACGATGCTTGTACTGAAATTTAAATATCACCAGCACTCAAAAAATAAATACCATTATGTAACATGCAAAATTCTAAAAAATAATAAACATACATACGTATGCTATTACCATAACTTTAGATTTTTACCTATCATATTGAGCTTACCGATTTTTTATGAAAATATATTTTTTTTATCCATCCATCGCGCATCGTGCTAATCGGTCAAGAACTAACTACATATCATATTCTATTTGTTAAGGAAATTTATTAAAAAACGAACCATTTCGTTATAATGATATAAAAATAATTGTTTAAAATAGCAGGATTTGTGAGAGACCAGAGAAGTGTTTGCATTAAATTTTAAATGGTATAAGTAAACAACCACTAGATTACAGCCACGGGAACGGTTCTGTCGCCATTATGACTACCCCAAAGTTGATTATTTGTCATTTTTCATTTTAAGACCCGTTAATGTCCTGGGACAAAAGCAGCGATCGATCAGCCCGATTCTACTCCGGCTAATTGCCAACGATTGTCTACTTTGCGCTTTTATTCGACCACTCTTTGTGCTCCATAGGCCAAGCCCGGTTGGCAGGACTTTGATTCAGCTTGTGTAAATCGCGCCAAGAAAGCGTTGACACTAATCTATTGCAACTCATAATTTTACTGATTCTATTCAGTATGATAGCTAGGTATCTTACATTCATTATTTTAATTATTATAGACGTAGACCCTTTAGACGTATTTTTTTTCTGTTCATACTTTATCTAGTTTTTGTTCATCTGGTTGCTTCCAACCAAAGGCCGCCTCTAATCTTTTCCACTCTGTTCTGTCTTGGGTGATTCTGGTCCATAGCTTCCCTGCTTTTCTAACTATTTCATCTTCCCATCTTCAATTTGGTCGTCCTCTTTTTCTTTGTCCTTGTATTGGGTACAAAGTAGTTATGACCTTGCTCCATTTATCCTTTCCACGTAATGTGTGTTACATTCATTGTAGTAATTATATAACATAGAGTAACAACAGTACTATTTATAGAAACACCTATTTGGTTATCTACATTACATATTTATTAGCTAATTCTTTTCTAATGTCTGAAAAAGTCTTACGTGAAACGTAGAATCTCTGTATAAATACATATTGATAGATTGACGTTCAGTATGTCATTTTTACATTGACGGCCTCGGTGATCTAGCGGCTTAGTTCATCGCTTTAGTTCCGATGGTCGCGGGTTCGATTCCTCATACGGTACAAACATTTGTATTCATGAGTATGATTGTTTGTATCGGTCTGGGTGTTTTCTATGTATATTATGTATATATTTACAAAAAAAAAATATCTAAGTATTTATATCAGTTGTCTAGTACCCATAACACAATCTCTGCTTACCTTGGGATTAGATAACGTTGTGTGAATTGTCTATGGGCATTATTATATTTTTAGATATGTTATCAATTAATGCATTCAGTTAGGTTATACTAAAACCTAATAATAATTTGAAAGATACAGTATTACAAGAATGGGTACACCTAAATTATATACGTATGAAATTATCTGTAGATACATTTCTACGCTACGGTTTCTATGAAATATAAATTAAAATATTTTACAAGCACTGTACAGAATATTTCATTTACCACACAGTATGCAACTACCACTTTGGAACGTACTATAAACGGCTTACAACAAAATTTAATTTAGTTTCAATTAAATTTTCAGAAGATATTTAATTATTTTCAATCTGTCTCGTTTTACAATATGTACATGTTTTACATAATAGAAAATAAGATAGTAGCCGCATAAAAAAAGTTTTATCACAGCAATCACATTGCTCTTAAATTCTTTATAATACTAATATTGGTCTCGATATCTATCGTTTTAGCACACCAGCTATACGTCCGATGCTTGGGTTCTATTCTCCAAACTCTACTACAATACAATGATTTGTATTTATGTACATGATTATCTGTATTGGTCGGAGTGTTTTCTAAGTAGGTATATTATTTGTACCAGCCCATACCATACCATAGTACCAGCTCTGCTTTATTCGGGACTAGATGGCGCTATGTGAATTAACATGTGTTACTATAAGCATTAAAATATTGGTTACAGCGCATCATGGACAGCGCTGAAGCGGCGGCATTGTCAGCAAGTGGAAGCAATGATGGAGCACCAGGGTCATACTATGACGCCCGCTGGCTAAACGTTCATGCTGATGATGGCACGTTAGCAGCGCGCGCCCGCCGTCTGCTCTTGTACCCTAGCAGACACTTCGACCATATTGCAGTCAATACCAGCTATAGCGCTGTACTTATGCCACCATATATTAATACCGAAGGTAATTTTTACTTATTAAACATCGTTTTAATACCTACAAGACCTTACAGGTTTAGTTAGAGACATTCCACATTCCCCTATTTCGTATAATATATTTATTTTGAAATCAACGTAGTAGGGAGGAATCAATCACCGTCTCTCTGATTAATTTTTCTTTATAAGTTTTTCCATCACCGAAGTATGAAACAGAAATGTAAAATACCGGTAATTTTATTATAATATAATTTTTTTTTCAGGTTTTAATTTTTTTAATTTAGGTTTTTCTTTGTCTTAACCCTTTTTGTTCCTCAGGGTAATTTTATGAGATAGGTATGGTGAAAACTTCCAGTAAGTTAGTAATTAAGGATTAAAAATACTGCATTTGAAGTTCCACTCAAATTTAACTCTACGGCAATTGACAAGCTGTCATCCTTAAATAATCATAACAAATGTTATGTTGACACGGCGGTACAACGGGGGCGCAGTGCGCACCAACCCCGTTCGGGAAAGCCACGGATGATTTATGGACAAATTGATATATTTCTGCTTATTAGCGGGAATACACAACGATTTTTAGTGTGACAAACCATGAATTGAAGAAACCAAAAAATAAAAGCTACAAATAAGAATATTAATTACATTTTGTTCCGAACCTACCTGATTGATAACATTTTTAGACCTAACAATAAATATCAGACAGACACTCAAAACGAACTATTGAAATCTTATACCCTTCCTTATCTTTATTTGGTAAAAAATATTTGGTAAATAATGAAATCATATTTGAATTTATGTAGATCATAAAATCGTAATATATCTATGAAGCGATATATTTCATTCAATCATGTCAACCTACTTTTACGAATTTATTCCGTAGTGAATAGACATAGACGTCTATTCACTACGGAATAAATTCACCATTGCATTCGCCATTGGGCATGGTGTAACGACAAAAAAAATATTTAAGGTCTCGTACTTACGATACCTTTTTTATTCTCAAATTCGAGACTTGAGGTAAATAAAAGGATTGATAAAATTGATTACGTGGTAGGTAGTTAATATACTATAGATACAAAAGACGAACAGATTATATTTTGCAGCTATTAAAAAAACTATCTCTTATATTTTACGGGCTTTGCTTTATCTCATAAATATTGTTAGAATGCATATTATTTATCTACCCGGATATTATTAAATTTATTACTACAAATAATAATAAATTTAATATCGCTGTAAAATCATATTCTAAGAGAGAATGTTAGTTACTTTTTTCTAAAAGAATCTATAAAAAGTGGAATCCAATAACGTTGTTCAACTACAGATACCCATCTAAAAAGTGTAATATTTTTAGAGGCAATATTATGAAAACTGAACTCTGCAACTTGAGCAATATAAAGAATCTCAGTAGAAAAATGCGTCGTAAGTAAATCCAAGAAAAAAATCAAGACATAAAAGAAGCGACAGCTATTATTTCAGGGCCATAGAAGAAAATTGCTTACATAGTCTCTCATAAATTGTAATAACGGCCAATATTCTGAATTCACCTGGTGTAAGACTGAATATACCATCGTAATTATTTCAGAAAATGATACGATGTAGGTATATATAAATTGTCGAAGCGCAGCGACTAAGCCTCAAATGTTTCCAACTAAGTCCCTTTCTCTACAGCATATTTATTTCCCAAAGCCACGATAGATTTTGGCCGAATCATTAATTTTTCCGGCCCACAACCGTCCACAAGAAACCAATCACGGCTGCCCAATGAAGCAAGTTTACCAATTACGCCTCTTTTAATGGGTAGTAAAGAAATTTCCCTAATTGGTCAACAGGGTGGTCAGTCATTGAGGTCATTTAATTTAACCGAAACAAACTTTGATGATTACATTATCAACGTAGTAATTAGTGTAGAGCATAAAATTAGAAAGCATTTGTCTTCCATTAAATTTTAATATTAATCTAAATATTATAGGAAATGTTTGTTTCTTTGTTTTTTATTACATTTTCTCGATTAAACGGTTGAACGAATCTTATTGTTAAATGTGAAGATATATTGTATCATGAGGACAGACTAAGCTATATCTTAATCTACTGTAAATAATACTTTAAATTTAAATAGAAGTACATATATATAGTGATCTCTGTACCATAATTAGGGTAAAACTAATCCCAATAAAACTAAAGTGTATTTTTCGCTACGAATTTCTTCTAATTCATAATTCTTATATTTTCGTTGTTCTCCACCAGATCCTGAAGTTCAAAATCAAATAGCGTGGTCAGAACACTTGGACCCGTTATTCGTGAATAACTACGAAATTGACCCAACTCTGTCGTGGCAATACTACGCCTCTTCTAAGGGTTTTATGCGGCGATATCCAGGTAAATATAATAATAACAATAACCATCGACAATTCACACATCGCTCTCTAGTTACCAGCTAAGCAGAGCTTGTGTTATGAGTATATTACATAGATAGTTAATTTTTTTTGTTAATACATACGTACTATATACATCAACAACAACCAAAAGAATACAAATAATCATACCCATGAATACAAATGTTTGTACCGTGCGAGGACTCGAACCGCCGACCATCGGAAATAATGAGATGTGCTAAACCGCTAGACCACCTAGATATATTTTTACTGTTCTATCTAGCTGCATAAAGTTAAAGGAGCTGTTTAATCTTCTCAGTGACTATTGCAATATAAGTACATGTAAACATTATTATTTACTAAAAGAAGATGTTACAGTTCAATATAACGACAACTGTGAGTTTCAATACTCAGTCTATTAAACTTTCATCACATAACAACAGATATATAAGATGTCAAATCAAGACAAAATATCCAGCCTGTTTACATTACCATGTCCCTTATATGGTGGGCAACATAATCAATCATCTCTAGCTAACATCAAACAGGCGTGCACTCTTCGCTAGCTTTATTATCAGCACTTGCCGTACGTTTATTGTAGACCTTACCCTTTTCACTAAAGCGTAAAGTTCTTAAAATACATAAATGTATAATATATATTATTATATTTATTATCTCCTGTTAAAGCAGCGAAGTAATGAAAAATATAAATATTTCCCGTAGTTTACACATTTTATTCTCTTTTATTATATTATTATCGAGCTAGACTGTAGAAATTCGTCTTTTTACAGTCTGTTTTAGCTATAACCTCAGTCATTTTGTAATCTGTGTTTCGGTTATAGGGTATATGATTAAGTACTGAAATTATAGAATAGGTATGACATATGTATTAGTCCTCTGAAAGGGCAACACAAGTTTTCTAGTTTCTAGTTTACGATTTTGCCTACTCTTATACTGATTATGCTTTGTTAAAATATGTTTCTTTCGGTATTCTATAGATGAAAATTGAAAAAGCAAGAAGAATACCACTGTACCCGTAATTTGACAGTTATATATTAATCTTAGAATTTGAACACAACTTTTGAAACAAACTGTTTTGCGACAGATGTGAGACATAGGTACAAAATACAGACGGGTTAGCACAAAGACTCCGTCTAATGACCTTTTAAGGGTATAAATTCGTCGTCATACTTATTGTTAATATTAATTAATTAAATTTCTAATGCAGCACTGTAATTTAATTATACATGTAATTAAATCGTTATCTGTACGTGGTAGATGTATAAGAAAAAAATATTATCAGAATTTTAACAACAAAATAAGACTCCAAACAATTACCTATAGAAGTTTTGTCTATTTGTATGTTAGAAACGGCTGATATAGGTGGCTTTCGTTATAATATATTGTGGTAGAGATTACTTAAACTTCGGGGTTGTTTTATTTCAGTAGGTTTACAAACAGAAAAGGTACTCAGATACAGAAGTCGCAGGCTCTGCTTGTTAAAAATATAAAATATTCTATGTATTATTATTTACATGATGAAATTGTTCTTAGCGATGTCTTGGCCACCAGAAGACGGATATTCTCACCACGCGAGAGACTTCTACGACTTCAGGTCTTCCAATTGGTTTGTCGAAGCAGCCACATCACCTAAAGACTTGGTGATACTCTTGGATGATTCCGACGATCTAGGATCCTCATACTGGAGGCTGGCAAAAGCGACTATTTCCGGCTTATTGGACACTCTAGGACCTAACGACTTCGTCAATGTGTACCGATACAGCGATACGGTGTCAGAGTTACATTCTTGTTACACGAAGATATTGGCACAGGTAAGTTTCTTTTATTGCATAACTATAATAATATACTTTAACAACTATGGATTACTTTGGTTTATTATTGTTGATAATATTAGCGGGAATTATTTAGACTTTTATAATATAATATCATAAACATAAGTTCATAAATATTATTTGTTCACTCATTAAATCCAACTAATTCGTAAGTGAACAAATAATATTTATCAATATTTCCATCAACGAAGCGTCAGTCAGAAATATAAAAACACACATTTTTTTTACTAACATTACAATTCTAACTTTTAACTACTAGACCATCACTCTACTACTGAACAACTGTATTTTGTACCAAAAAGTGTATTTAGATAAAATTACAAGCACGCTTTGTTCATTAAACATTTAGGCATGTTTAACTCCTCAGTCTTGTAACCCTTTCGTAGAGTACCGCGTAGCAACGACATTCTGTTAGTTGTAGCGCGTCGTAGTAATTGTATAGCAATTACTACCCCTAGTCTCGACCTACGCGCCGCGCTACGCGGTTTTCTCGTAGCACGAAAGCACACATGATGATAATAAGTACAGAACGCCACTGCGTTGAATTAATGTAACTTTAATACCTATGTTTATTTTATAAATCTATAAGAAAGCGTAATAATAGTATTATAGACATAACATATAATATATACTGATTTTATAGGAAGAGCGTATTTGTTATGGGATAAGTAAGCTCTGCAACCACTGCATCGATTGGAGAAATTCTTTCACTGTATTAAATGTACTTTATTTAGTGTAACCAGTAGAGAGTACAGCGATGTATAGCCATTTTACAATATATTTTCTAAGTTATAAGTATATTTAATTATTTCTGTCTTATTTAATATAATATTTATTTATTTTAATGAATTTATGGCTAATAATCGGATTATGTTTGGTTCCACGTAATAGGAATCTCAAAAATATGACTGAGCTGTGCAAATTTATTAATTAAAAATTAATCTCGAATCACAATTATCATTACATATAGCCTTAATTCCTTTATTTGGTGCTGGCGCGTTGAATACCTACTGATCCTTACTAGACATTTATACTAAGGGCTTATAAATGTACTGAGAATGACTATTTTACGTTACTTACGCTAATCAGAAAAAGTAGCTTCTGCATGTATGTGGTGAAACGTCAGTTTCCTTCGTACGTAGGTGAAATTCTATTCTTAATTTAATCGCTAATGTGTCCGACTGATATCAGATTGACGTTATCTCATAACTTCAAAGATAATATGTGAAGTTTGGATTATTACTATATTTACGTCAAACACGTGTACAGTGAACATGCAATCAAGATCAATTAGATGACATAAGTTTAATTAAAACAAGGGTTCCCGGAAACAGGTGGGTGTAACAAATTGTTTAACGTCAGACCTGATTTAAACATGACGTAAATCCCGCCAGAATTATATTTATCGAGTCAATTATTGCGTGCCTACTTTTAGGGGATACGGTGCCTCATTATTTATAGGTATCGTTTTTAATTTTTTTTTACGACAGATTTCATAAAAATAACCGCTGTATGCGGTTATTTTTATGAAATTATATTTATAGAAAAAGATATATTTATAGAAAAAAATCTAATGTTTTGTGAGTTTTATAACGTAGTGAGCGAACTAAACCATACTTATAATTTGATTAAAGATGCGAGAGGTAGAACCTTTCACTAAATTAAAGAGGCGAAAAGTTTTAGAGCCTATTGGTAATGCAAATTTTTTCCTCAACTACCTATGGGTCTACGTTATACGAATGTATGAATAAAATCATATATTTTTAATAATGATAGTGTAAAAATTTTGCAAATATTTTATCCTTATATTAAGATATAATTTCGAATATGTTTCTAGATTTTAGGTATCGAATCGTATTCTCTAGGTGAGAGAAACAAATCTCTATTGGTGATACAGATATTCCAGCCAAAACTGCTATTTCGTCGGGAATGAAATTTCATTATTATATCTATACTTATTTATTTTTTGTATCCGTTGGAGGCCAAACCATCTTGCTTGACTTGTATTACTAACATGATATAGTCTATAATGACGGATGCTCATCACATTTTTTCAGATAAAATTCATATTTATTGATATTTGTATTGGACAAGTTCAAAGTTTGATGTATAATATAAATTGTTATTTATAATATCCATTGAAATTTCCCATATGGAATGGAATTACCCATACATGACATATAAGCCCTAAAAAGTAGATACCCACTAAATTCCTACAACCTACATTTTAGCTATAATAGTCCAGCTACTTAATTTCAAATTAAGAAAGTATGTTTTGTGGATTTCTGAATGTGTTTGATTTATTCGACGTTTAGCGTATTTATGAATAGAACAGTTAATCTCTATTAAACGAAGATAATTATTTTCATTGTTAAAAAATCTGAACACCATTACGTACATTACAAGGACAATCGAGCGATACACTAATATAACTATCAGGTCTATATAGTTGTAAATTAGTAGGCAAATGCAGGTATTGCGTGCGGACGGGATTATTACGCGATACGCATCTGTCCGCGTGGTATACGCACCGTAATGGATTCAATCAAGCCACCTTTAATGTTGGAGTCCATTAAAAGAGGCCACGGATACTCTGCCTCTGCAATTTCTGCCTAACGAACGCCCGAATAAACAGCTCGCTCCAGCTTTACATTCATATACAATTGATGTCGCATTGCTGTTTGTGGTGACAATGGAATACTCATTAAATATGTATAGTTTTTGTTCCATACAAAGCACGTAATATACAATGTATTATGTAATTAACAAGCTGTGCTACGGTTTTATTAGCCGTTTAACTTAAACGAAACTGCTAGAACAAATTTTTACTAGTTATATTGTAATCGCTTATAAAAATCAGCTAGCGAAGTAATAAATACATAAGCATGTGATATTACAAGAAAATAGCAAGTTTTAACAATATTTTATAATAGTACATTAGACCCTTTTTGGCTGGTATATATTTTATTAAAAGCGGGTGAGTGAATCACGGGTTATATACAGCTTAATGAAAGGTAAAGGAACCCTTATATGAAAGGGTAATTATAAGTAGGGTTATTATTTAGAATATAGAAGTCTTTAAGCTGCCAGTCATATATACAAGGTATGGTTAAGATATGGTTGGAAAATGTGAACTCAATAATAGTGAATCAGAAATATAAGTTTATACACAATATTTTTATGTAGTCCAATTTCGAACTGACGTCCCAGTGGAACTGACTGTGGACAAGTTAGATAAAGTGATAAAGTATTTGTTTTATAACAATTGGTTTTATAAACAACCCTCCTTGTGCTACCACATATTTGTAAAAGGGAACATTTACTAAATATCTGAGATTGTCATCCATAATTCATTATATTGCTGCCCGTTTTGTGTAAATATAATTCATATTCGTAACACATGTCACACAAAGTACCTACTTGCTCGAAAGACATTCATCAATTGTTTAGTTTGTTCACGCACCTTAATGGAGGGAACAGTTAACACGACGCCCTAAGTAGAAAGTTTTAAATATATAATAGTATGTTACATTTTATATGAACAAAATACAACAAGTATTAAACTTTCCCATTATCTTGGTCCTTTCAAATAATTTATTGATTTAAACAGTTTTCTACTAGATAGGTATATTCGAGTTTGTTATATGTGTACGAATATTTAATTACAATAATGAAACACATCTGTAAAGCTTGTAACTTTAGATTGAATGTTATTTTTTTCGAAACTTTGTGGCACAGGAATAATATTGTAGTTATATTTTTAATATGAAATCATCAAAATCAAATGAAAATAAATTAATATCATTTAAAATTCGAATGTTATTTTACGGTAATCAGTGGGGGTAATGCATAGGCATGTAACATGAAAATATTGACCGATGAAGTTATAAAATGGAAGTATTAATCTACTTTGTGTAGATACCGATATAGCTCATCTCCGTTCTCGGGGAGGACAAAACTACCCTAATGGTGAAGGATAAGTTCACCAAGATCTTAAACATTCCCAATACTTCAAATTGCAATGCAATTCTGTTTCAAATCGTAATATAAATGTAGGTTTTTTTTATATGTATTTCTAGATTTTTTTTACATCTCTTCCTGCACAGTACACGCAATTACCAGGTAGTTTCTGTACAAGGTAGTTTATTGACAGTAAAATATCATATAGTATTCTGAACTTGTGATAAAATTATAATATGTTTTCAATGTAATTTAGATAGTAACTAATAAAAATTAGAAATTCTACCATTCAATTAACTGACTTCAGATTTTCAGAGTCATATTTAAATAAAGTGTATTTTCAAATACGTTTTAAAAATGACTACTTTTCAAAAATTAATCTCACGGCGAAAATTTCTTCATCTGTATTTTAATGAAACTGTATTTGAAGCAGATGATATCTACTATTAGTACATTGGTATGCTCACGTACTCAGTTCATAAGTCTATGTAAAGTTTCAAGATAAAATCAACGCCACAAAGAAGCGAGTGGCGCGTCGCCTGTGACAGGTGAGAGGGTGCGGCGGCGCGCCCTTATCGCGGCGCACCACTTCACTTTACGAGCTCACTTGATCGAGTCACTTTCGCGACGTCTATCTGCCACAAGGCGACAAGTGTTTCATAATGTTTATATTTAGTATATTATAATAATGATATTCTAACAATATTCTTCATATATTATAATACATGAAATGTATCACGTTATCACGTGATGCGATACCGCTCATTCATTGTCATTCCGGAGGACTAAGACATCATGCCTGTTATCCTATAATATCACTGCCTTATCTCACCCAGCTGCAATGGATAACACTGAAGTACCCACCCACGCAGAATACTCATATGTAGTCTACCTTAGTTTTTAATTAGAATGATATTATTGGAGCGCGACGATACCGTCAATGTATTTAAATGTTACTAATATGAGTAAACCAGTGTGTTCCAATGAGATCAAAAGCATGATCTCATTGGAAGCAGTCAATTAAACAAACACCCATGGCGTATTTTTTATCATTTTAGAATACTTCAATCGATATATCGCAGGTAACAGGTGTAAACCTGAATTCTCGTTTATTACACAAAGTAATCTCATTGTTAAATTTATATCTAATATATACATAGTAATATATATAATCGAATATAGTTGTAAAAACAATGAAATAGTTATTTTCTACTAATTATTCAAGTAAAGGAATGTATGCAAAGGCAGCACCTACTGTTGAACTCGCAACTTCGCTAATATACGATCCAGCAATTACCTTCATGGCAAACATTCCCGTTTATGTCGTCCCGGGCAAAATGAAACCTTGTATATTTAAGAGTTGTTACACACATAAACTTTCATTAATATATTCGCTATGTGTGTGTTTGCTCGCATTAACAGCCTTTGCTTAATGGTTTAATATTGACTGATTTAAAACGATATCGGTGAAATTACAAATGTATTATCGTTTTCATTATTAAATATATATACATCCATTAACTACACAAGAGATCTCACGCTATGGGACTTTTTTTACATTACCTTTATGAATAATGATAATAAGCCGTGCAATACTCTTGGGGTCATGTTAGTATTCTACTGCGGCGAGACAAAACTTTTGGCCTACTATTATGGTTTCTTTAATACTAACCCGATTACTCCTTAGAGTCGTAATTTTTTAATAATATATTTTATTTATATGTATCCTATGAACATATTCATTCTCAAGTTCTGTTTACTAGATAGATAGATAACACTGTGTAATAAAATCATAGTTATGAAAATAAATTAAAATGGAATACCTTCTATGTATTTCTATAACGTCGGTTATGTTACGGAACGCAAAATACGTACATAACGACACATATTTTGTGTTCGTAAATTGTATATACATTCATAAAAAATTACTCGTTTTGTATTATTATAATTCTGTAATCCTATTTGTCTACTGTATTTGAGATTGAATTAATCATTTTCATGTCTAACATTCCTAATTAGAAACGAAAACTGCCATTTTACTTATACCATATGTATATAATTTAATACTGAAACTGTCATCTGGACAAGTGGATGGTAGATTTAATGAAAAATAAAAACAACTGTGATGTATAAGTGCCTAGAATATCCTATGTCTATATAAAGGCTTTTGAGCTCGAGTTGATTAAAGCTACGGCTAGTTATTTTAATGACACTGAGTTTACTAAAGTTTGTGAAAACAACAGTCATATCGGACCTCATGACAATAGGCATTCAAACGACTTTCAAGGTTTCCTGTTCGCAATAGAACAGCCTTCAACCGCCGGGGCTTAGATAGTTTAACGTCTATGTTGAATAGATATAGCAGGTAACCTCGCATGTTTAGAACTCATGTCAGTATGCGCTAAGGCGAGTTGTTTTTATTCAAATGCATATAAAGTTATAATCTAGCTTATTGTTAGTGGCTTTAGCCGCTCCGCAACTCGTAACTCTGTGAGTTTTATATATATATATACTACTATTAATACCATATATGCTCTCACCCTGGAATTGTAAATACTTTTAAACAGTAAAACTATTTCTCAAATCTGTACAGTGGTTACTTTCCTCGTAACAACCCGCTCCCTCTATAATATTAGTCTATATACATTTTAAATCCGCATAATGCACTACACTACCAGTACATAAAGCTCTTTAACACCCTTTAACAAAGTACTTTTACATTAGCAATATGTACTTTGAATATAAGGGTAGGTGTTGGCAAAATTTAAGGTAATGCTGAAAGCTTAATATTAGGGGTGAAGTTTAACAATAAGCTCTCATTTTATTTACAGTGGTTTCCATTAAGGTCTATCTCTATATTGCAGCTGATTAATTTAGTAGGTATGAAAGGAGGCACTTGAGCTAAAATGAGAAAATGTTCATATTTCGGATATATATGTATTGTTTGGAGAATGTCGTACAATTTTTCTAATATGTGATAGACCGCTTTATAAACCATATAACTAACCCTGAATAATCAACTATCAATTTAATCAAATAATAAATTTTTACATTTTCGTTATTTATAAGCTTTTTTTAATTTTTCAAAATAATGTTAACTCAAAATATCGTGCTATACTTTCCGTTACGTGCTAATGCTAATATGCTATTATCCTTTACATCTATTTCAATCTTGGCACGTGTATCAACCAATTTTATTTTTGCAGGCTGTACCAGAAACTATACGCGAGCTAAAAACAGTGTTGTGGAACGCCGAAGCCACTGGCGGAGCAGCCAACTTAACTGGAGCCCTCACTACGGCTTTTGAAATATTGCATCGGGTATGGACTATATTATTTTTTAGGACAACTATAATTCATAACCGCGACTTCTGTTATAAACTTTAGGTCTTATGTACGTCAAACTTCAGGATTGCTAAGAAATAATCTCATATTTATGTCTATAGCGAACGAATACCTACTCAACTGACAAAAACCCAACAACGATGATGGTTTTTATGTATCACTTTAATGAATTACTGTTCATCACAAAGAATATTTTCGATTCAATAGTCTTTCAAGAATATTACTAGAGTTAAGGATTTAAGACTAGTATTCTCGAAGGAGTATTATTTTAGTTGATCGGTAAATTTATTTTAAATGTTCTGCAGTATAACCGTACCGGCCAAGGTTGTCAATGCAACCAGGCTATCGCAGTGGTGGGCGCGGGCGGCGGTGCCGGCGGCGTGAAGACTGTGTTCCGTACATGGAACTGGCCACATATGCCAGTGCGAATATTCACATACCGCGTCGGAGGAGATGCCACCGCTGGACACACTATGAAGGACATGGCTTGCACTAATAAAGGTACCTACATATATACTTATACATGAAGCAAAAACTCTGTACGGAAAGAGGTGTATGAAATTTCGCACTCCTATCGTTTATATAGAGAAGGAGTATATTTTGTACACTACTGTATAATTAAAAAATATAGGTGAGTATATGGATAAAAATGTGTCGGTTGACTCTAAAATTTATCATTCATATCTTTTTCTACTTCTTTCTATAAAAATAGAATAGTTAGCAAAACCGTGGTAGATATTACAAAAGCTGAATTGGAAGAGAATGAGGTACCCACACATACAAACTTTTACTAAGTCTACCAAGTAACAACTATAGTAGTATAGGTCTAGTAACAACCGAGTGTTTGGCATTTACATGACATTTTCTAATTCATATATCATCTTTAAACATAAATACAAGACAAAACATAATATAACAACACGTTAACAGGTTTCTACGTATCCATCAATGAGCACTCTGAGATCCGCGGAAAAGTGCTCCACCTGGTGGAGGTGTTGGCGCGGCCTCTCGTCATGTACCAGAATGTCCACCCGGTGCACTGGAGCCCTGCATACGTCGGCGGAAGGGTTCGTGTATTAATAATATTCCACGATAGAATTCTGGAATTCCTGGATATAAGTATTCCTGGAGTACTCCAATTCACATAGCGCCATCTAGTCCCAAACCAAATAAAGCTTGTAGTGTGAATCCTAAAGTACTGGTAGTAATACTTGTTTTTTATATATACAGAATATACATAGAAATAGAAAACACGCAGACGAAGACAAACAATCGTACTTTATTTATGAATACAAATGTTAGTATTGTACGAGGAATCGAACCCTCGGAAGTAAGGTAGTCTACTAAACCACAATAGCACCACTATAGTCTATTGATTCCATAGTCTATAAGAATTCATTGAAGTTTTATTGCATGTTGCAATATTATATTTGACGACCTCGGTGGTCTAGCGGTCCAGCACACCGCTTTACGTCCGATGGTCGCGGGTTCGATTCCTCGCACGACACAAACATTTGTATTCATAATATGTATGTATTTACGAAAAAAAAATCTATGTACTTGTATCAGTTATCTAGTACCCGTAACACAAGCTTTAGATAGCTTAAATTGGGACTAGATGGCGCTGTGTGAATTGTCCTGAGATTATATTATTATATGCAGCATATCAACGATAATACATACAGTTAATATCATTACAATTAGACACAGAATAACAAGATTACAAAGTAACAATGAATTAAATCTCACGCAAGCGCCAATTACTAATATAACGTCCTATTACAGAGTAGCAGCCTTTCTGACGACGGTATGGGACAACTGATGACCTCCGTCACGGTTCCAATTTACGACAGGAGAAATCACACGGTAAATAATAATACACAACATTTAAAGAACTTATCTATTTGAGCCACATTTAAAATTTGCATGCAAATAAATTGGAGCAATTAAACAGTTGCCATGAATATTATTAACTGAACATATTACGATCTAACAGTTATATGCAAATAAAAAAAACATTTCATTTCAACATAGTTTTTAAACATACCTATACTTTTTTATGAAATAAGTCTATTCCATAATAACAAACCTCCTCCCTGGAAACCATTGGATCAATTCCTTGTTAATTTGCCACAATTGGCTGACTGATCTGATTTAATACTCATTCTACATCCTCCACTGATGCACCAACAGCGTAATATCGTTAACATGGGTGACTGCATCACTACATATTTATTCATAAAAAAATGTTTTATTCAATTAAAGAAACCTTCTGGGATGGAAGATTATTTCTATTTCTCATTCAGCAGTCCCTGTTGCACTTTTATGAACCGACATAGACTTCCTTCTTCCTGACCCATGCTCTCTTTCCTCTCCTTGATATTTAAAATTTCGTGTAATGTAAGACATTGTGCCATTTGTACTCGCAATGCTATTTTAATTGATCTTTCTATAGGAAATAACGTGTGTTACTTATTTTTTCAGCAACGGGAAGCAAATTTACTAGGAGCCGTTGGAACTGATGTACCTGTCGATCAAATAAAGAAGCTCGTGCCACCATATAAGGTAACTTTTTTATTAACAGTTTAATTAACGAGACACTGTTTGCCACCTTTTCCATTGGATTTTTCAATGCAGGGTATCATTAGGTCTAGTAAAGAACTTAATTTAAAGTATTTTTTATTACGAAATTTTAGCGAGTATGGAATTTTACAGTTTATTTTATACTGATATATTGTAACTACATTCATCAACATACATATCGTTTTATTATTATAGTTTTTGATATATTAGTTTAAGTAGTACTTATAAGCAACTGTAATTTACAGCTTGGAGTCAACGGCTACTCTTTTATGGTGGATAACAACGGGCATGTTTTGTATCATCCGGATTTGCGACCTCTGGTAAGCTCTATTAAAATTATCTTCTTGAAGTTAGTTATACTTTATATATATAAGACATTGATTAAACAGCAAGTCGTGTCATCTGATTCTAACTTGAAACAAAAGCGAATGTAGAGTTAACTCACACGAAAGCTATCGTAATGGTGATACAAGTAGTATTGAAAACGTAGTAATATACAGTTTTCATATTGTTCAGAATCGAATATACTTTTCCAATTTTGTAATTTATTATTCAGTAGATATGTATCTCCTTTAATTACCAAGGTACTTATTTAATTTATTTGTTTCAGTACACCAACGAGGAAGTAAGTAACAAAGTTCCCTTTCAAATTAACATAAAAAATATGTTACAATGGAATAGCCAATATAAATGGGTAGCCTGCACTTTTCTAAATACAGCTAATTTAAAATTAAAAAATCCTATTGAGAATAGTGTATGAATACTATGTAGTTATTATGGTATTAAAGCATTTAAATTTACCTGTAAGATAAATTTCTTATATAAGCAGAATGTTATCTTGCATTCGTATAAATAAACAACTACGACTTTTTAGTGATTACGAACTTGAATATATATATATATGTATATATTAAACATAAAATACTACTTTAAATTTCTAGTACACAGAAACACTACGGCCGTTATACTCTAGTGTGGACGTGACTGATGTCGAACTACTGATGGATTCCGATGAGAATTCTCGGGTTAACCTCACATCTCTACTGCTTGATGTGAGTATCTTTATACAAGAGAAAGAGCTTATGGTTTATATTTTAGTTACAAATATATTTACTGTGTATATATATGTAAAGATATACAAGTATTTTGTTTCCCATATTTCCATAGTTATCTTGTACCTACACATGTCGGTTTTTATACATGAGAATAAATATTCCATTCCATAAAATTTTTTAAACTGGTTTATTTTTAAAACATCGCAAATAATATTTTTTGGATTAATAAATATTTTATCAAAGGTTTGACATTAAATTACAAAACATTGTAGCTTCGTCACGACATGATAGAACAACGTGAAGGTGAGACAGAAATTGGAGTTAAAGTTCAATACGACAACATGAGGAGAGTTGCTACTCGGCGTCAGAGATACTTCTACAGTCCTGTGGATGGTACGCCGTATTCTTTGGCCGTAGTACTCCCCGATGGTTATGGCATGTATGAGTTACTAGCGGAGCAGGAGGTCAAGCATAGTGTTATAAACGGTAAGAATTTAATTGTTTATTAAATATAAAGCTTACATGAAACGCAGGTTTCTCTAAATCTTGAAATCTCTTATGTAGTAATTCTATTGGTAATTATAGTCTTGCGAATATAACAGGAATCATCTTACAATGTGTATCCAAATATCCTATCCGATTAGATAGATTACGTTATTGATGAATTAATTATTTATTTAATTACATGCAGTCACTGAATATTTCAAAGGCGATAATTGGAAGATACATCCCGATTGGTAAGATACATGTCGTTTTTTTATAGCATATAGCAATCGAGCTTGCGGCCTACCATGGTAAATGATTACCACCGGCCATAAGCACTCGCAATACCAGAGGAATTGCAAATGCGTTCCCGGCTTTTCAGAAGATATAAGTTCTTTTGAAAGTTTTAAGATAATAATCTATTCCTAGATTAATATTCTCACTAAAAGAATTCAATCAACACACAAAACTTCGCTCATACCCCCATACCTCGTAATATCACTGCCTTATCTTGCTTTAACTAAAACACACCTTACAAAGTACTTGGTGGCTAAAATAGGTGAAATAGGTGAAACAGAGGTACGCATACGACATTAGGTATATATATTATTCTAATGGTACTGTACTACATTTAGATAAAAAATATATTTACAGGGTGTATTGCGAATATGCATCAACATCAGAACAAACATTTAATACTCCGGAGGAACAGCTTGTCCACTTTTTGTCCCGCGCGGGTCGCCCCGGCTGGAAATGGATGTCGCTGCGGCCGAGGGCACTCATGCTACACAATGCTCATAAGAAACAAGATCGTGACTCCTATTACTGTGAGTAAATACATTGTTTTGAGGGGTTATTAGTTATTACACTGTCAACTATTATAATAATAACCAGAAACAATTGGCACACCGCCATATAATGAAACTAAGCAGAGCTTATATTATGGATACTAGAAAACTGTCATAGTAATATAATAAATATTTATATACATTTTTTAATACATACATAATATACATAGAAAACATCCAAACCAATACAAACAATCATACTCATGAATACAAATATTTGTAGTGTACGAGAAATCGAACGCTCGATCATCGGAAGTAAGGCACTGTGCTATGTAGTATAGAGCTTTAGCTATACCACTAAGCCCTTCACTATAAGAGATCATATATACATTTTTGATTGAATATACAAAGTAGCGCACTACAATATTGAGAAAAAAAATCTATTTTCGTATCGTAATATATATGTTTGTAACGAATAAATTAAAAAACAAATGGTCCGATTTCAATAATTATTACACAATAAGAATGCTACAAGACCTCTGAGTAACATATATTTCTTATAAGGAAAAAATACTAGATATTAAAGATTAAAAGATGGAACGTGCATTTCGCGAGGCGGCGTGGCATCCAGTTGAAACTTTACCGGTATTCAACGGGACCGATAAGACTATAACGGCGGCGAGGTGGGCGCAGGAGATAGAAGAGAACGCGGAAATATTTGGTTGGAGTGCTACACAGCAATTAATTTTGGCGAGGAGATCGTTAGCCGGAAACGCATTACTATGGTTAAAGTCGGAGAAACCATTCAAAACTTATGACGACTTAAAATGTGCTATTATGAAGGAGTTTCCTGATAGCATAAATTTGAAAGAGCTGCACGAAATCTTATCCAACAGGAAAAAAGGAAAAAACGAAAGTTGTTATGAATATATGCTAATAATGAAGGAGTTGGGCAAGCGCGGCAAGTTACCTGATTATTGTGTTGTTCAGTACATAATAGACGGTATTATAGATGATGAGATAAACAAGGTCATGTTGTACGGGGTCACTACCTATGCCTCGTTAAAAGAAAAATTAGTGATATACGAATCCATGAAGAAAAAGATGTACGTAACTACAAGGGAAAGAAAACCCATAGTAACGAAAGAACATTACAGAGACAGCAGAAAATGCTACAAATGTGGTGAAAATGGTCATATTGCGACAACATGTTCGAAAGGAGTTAAGTGTTACAAATGTCATTCATACGGCCATATTTCGTCGAACTGCAGAGCTGCATTTGTCGAAAGAAATTCAAATACGATTGGGAATGATAATAAGTGCATCTCAATCACTTCACCTACGACGGGAGCGGAAGACCGACCGGAACGACGATCAATGTGTGTGAACGGTGTGAACATAGACGCGAACATAGAAAATGGCGACGTGCGTAGTGGCAGCAATGTTGACAGTGGTGACAGATGTCATTCGCTCGGGAACTGTCAATTTGAAACCGTCATGAATACGAAGCGAAATAGTTCAATCAAAACATTGGAGATAAATGGCGTAATAATCGAATGTTTAATTGATTCGGGGAGTGACGTAAATCTGGTGTCGGCAGATGTATTTTTCGAACTAAATGTGAGTGCCTATAATAAAGAAAAGATAGTGTTGCACGGACTGGGATTGTCGACTGTTTACTCTATAGGAAAATTTCAAACAGTACTAAAAATTGATGATTGTTATTTTGAATTATTGTTTTATATTGTACCAACAAATGCAATGCCTTACAAAGTGATCCTAGGTCAACCATTTTTGGAAAATGCGGTAGTTATTTTCGATAAAGGTGTGGTAAATGTAGTTTCGAGGAATGTGCATTGTTTGTTTACAGATGACAAACCGGTTAGTTATGTACCAAATCCTCAGATTATGGAGACAGCTCAGCTTATAGTGGATCAATATAAGCCCTTACAAACCAAGGAGGCACCATTTGAAATGCAGATTATCCTGAACGACGATGTGCCGGTGGCACAGCGGCCGCGTAGACTAGCCTATAAGGAACAAGAAGCAGTTGATAAACAAATTGGTGAGTGGTTACAAAATGGTATTATTAAACCTAGCTTTTCAGAGTATGCAAGCCCATTAGTATTAGTTAGAAAAAAAGATGGTAGTATAAGAGTCTGTGTTGATTACCGTAAAATAAATAAAAAAATTGTTAGGGATGAGTTTCCTCTACCAATCATTGAAGATCATTTAGATAAGCTTTCTGGATACACGATTTTTAGTAAATTGGATCTCAAAGACGCTTTTTTTCATCTCAAAATAAATAGTAACTGTACAAAGTATACATCTTTTGTGACACAGAATGGTCAATATGAGTTTATGAGAGCACCTTTTGGTTTGTCCATATGTCCGAATTATTTCACACGTTTTATCACTATTATTTTCAGAGAGCTTATAGCAAAGGGGTTTCTATTAATTTTTATTGACGACTTAATAATATTATCAAACACATATGATGAAGCCATAGATCGACTTCGTGAAGTTTTAAAATTAGCTTCTGAATATGGATTACATATAAATTGGAGAAAAAGTGACTTATTGACTAAAAAGGTGGAATATCTTGGTTATGAAATTGAAAATGGAGAAATAAAACCGTGTAGAGACAAAGTTGAAGCAGTTTTAAAGTATCCGCAACCTAAGTCGGTAAAACAGATTCAAAGTTTCATTGGATTGACATCCTATTTTAGAAAATTTATTGAAGGGTATGCTTCTATAGCACGACCATTAACAGACTTATTAAAGAAGAATAATGATTTTATTTTCAGTGAAAAACAGGAGATTGCATTCAAATTGTTAAAGAAGTTGTTGTCTGAAAATCCAGTATTAAAATTATATAACCCAGGACTCGATACCGAATTGCATACAGATGCATCTATCATGGCTTATTCAGCAATATTATTTCAAAAGGATTCTAATGATGGGAGTTTACACCCTGTGTACTACCTAAGTCGTAAAACCTCAGATGCAGAGCAGAAATACACAAGTTATGAGCTGGAGGCATTAGCCATAATAGAGGGTGTTAAAAAATTCAGGAAATATTTACTTGGCATAAAATTTAAGATTGTTACTGATTGCTTAGCATTTGAAATGACATTAAAAAAGAAGGATTTATCAACTAGAGTTGCAAGATGGGTATTGTTATTACAAGAGTATGATTATGAGGTGGAGCATAGAAAAGGGAATCAGATGCGGCATGTTGATGCTCTTAGCCGCAATCCTTATGTTACTGTTGTTACCAGAGGGTTACATGATCAAATCAGGAGAGCACAGGAACTAGATGAGGGTATAAAGGCGATTTCAGATATAATTAAGGAGAGGCCTTACAAAGATTATTATGAACAGAATGGAATCATATACAAGGGTGATCAAGGACAAATACTTATTCCCAAGGGATTAGAAATGGAAATTATTAAAACAATTCACTCGAATGGTCATTTTGGCAAGAAAAAGATGTTAGAAATGTTAAATGTAGATTATTATATAAAAGATTTATCTTCTAAAATAGATAACTTCCTTGTAACCTGCGTACCATGTTTGTTGGCAACGAAGAAAGAAGGAAAACAAGAAGGTTTTCTTAATTCCATAGAGAAGGGCATTATCCCACTTAGTACATTGCATATTGATCACATAGGACCACTCTCAGAGACTTCAAAATTGTATAATTATATTTTAACAATTGTAGACGCATTTACAAAGTTTGTTTGGCTCTTTCCAGTGAAGGCAACTACTACTAAGGAGACATTAAGTAAGTTACTTATTCATCAGCAGACTTTTGGAAACCCAGATCGAATTATATCAGATAGAGGAACGGCTTTTACTAGCAAGGAGTTTGATGACTATTGTAAAGATGAGAATATCCAACATATTGTTATCACCACTGGAGTACCCAGAGGAAATGGGCAGGTAGAAAGGATTCATCGTACTTTGGTGTCAGTCTTAACGAAACTGTGCATAGAGGATAAAAGTCAGTGGTATAAGCATGTGAGTAGAGTTCAAAGGGCTCTAAATAGTACTTATCAAAGAAGTATAGGAACCAGTCCTTATGAGTTAATGGTGGGTGTAAAAATGAAACAAAAAGAGGATTTAAATATTTTTAGTTTATTACTAGAAGAAAGTAGAGACGAATTTGTGACAAATAGAGAAGAAACGAGAGAACAGGCTAAGATACAAATTTTAAAAGTACAAGATGAAAATCGGCGAAATTATAACAAAAAACGCAAGGAAAGCCTTAAACATAATATTGGTGACTATGTAGTAATCAAGAGAACCCAATTTGGTACTAATATGAAATTAAAGCAAAGGTATTTAGGACCTTATAAAGTTGTTAAAGTCAATGGCAGAGACCGCTATGATGTACTGAAGGTCGATATTGCTTCTGAGGGACCTATGAGGACGTCCACTTCAGCAGACTATATGAAGAGGTGGCCAGAGGTTAGTTCTTGAAACTCATTTACTTACCAAATTATTGTAATTTTCCAATTAAGTTGATGGCTGACCTTGTGAGGCATTAGTATTAGCTTATGGTGAAGATAAAGGATTATTTGATTGTACCTATTTTAGTACTTAGTTTATATTGTATTTGATTATAGGAGTATAGGTACTGTACCAGTTGTATTTTTTTCTTTGTGTATTATTATTTTTTTTGTACTGTGTAATATGTTAAAGTTGTGTAACTATGTTATAAGAAGGGTCATGTTTTAATTTAAGGTGTTTAGTTGTATTTTCATTCTATATTTTGCTTTAGTGTGTAGTAGGTGTGTATGAAAAGAGTGTGTTAGAAGAATTGTAGAGTGAAAGACGGACCCTGAGGTCAGGCTCCAATGCAGGATGGCCGAGTTGTAGGATTTGAAACTTGGCGGTATGAACGAATGGGAACGAATGAGTATGAATGAATGGAAACAGAGGAGCAAATGGATAGAAACGAAAGAGTGAATGGATGGAGAAAGGAATGAATGGAAAAAGAGGATGGGCATCGCTCTCTTCCTCGTAGACTGCCATATAGTTAGGTCGTTTCATGTATCATAGTAAATGTTTTTTTTTTGTAATTTAAATAAAAGGAGTTCTATAAAATAATCATCCTGTTATTCGCGAATCCTCATTCCCACATTTAGGGCATTGCTACTATAACTTCAATAATGTATCCCAAGATGTAAAAAAATAATGTCGAGCACTGCAAAGCCAAGACGAGTAGCTAGTAATAAATAATATTCTTATTAAAAATAATCTGATTGATACAGTGTGAACGTGCTAAGAGATAACTAATAAATTTCATATAAGTAGGTACTAACAAAATATTTCAATAATTATACACATAAGAAAGGTAATAATATTTTTTCATAAACCTAATATCCCTAAACTTATTTCTCTTTTCCAGGTGACAAAACTTTAGTTCAATCGCTTATTCGAGACGCAATGGTAATAAAAGAACTGGACGCTCACACTGGACACGCCAGCCATCACTCGCAGTAAGTTAAAATGTTATACTAAAGCATGTTTATAGCACAAACAATAGTCATAATGAATATTAAAATTATTCAAAAAGTAATAAACTAAATGGAATCAACAGAAGCAATTTCAAAAACAAAGGTCGTCCATTCAGGAGCACTCACGCATTAAACAAATTACTGCATGAAATCGATAAAATACTAAATAGAAATGTCTCGAAGCTTTTAAACGCACTTTCTATGTGGATCACTAATTTATTTGTATTTGTCACACAAATAGCCCGATAGCAACTTTAATGGCACTTCTGACAAGGTAACGTAACAAGAATATTCATAATCACTCAGTAGATGTTTTAGAACATACTGCTAAATGATTCGATTGCCTCATCGTTATTTCAGATGCTATCGTCTGATAATTATTTCAAGTATTGATAATATCTCCTAGAAAACTGTATATAATACCTATTATTAGTTCATACATTATAAATATAATGTTAAATATTGCCCCATCGAAATTCATAACCTAAATATACCTGGAATATAATTGTAATCACGTTTTTAGTTATCATTTAAACTTCCTTTGTACCTTAGATATAAAAAAAATATTAATTGAATTCATTATCATAAAAATTTTACTTATAACTCCCTATACATATGTCGCGAGTTCTAGTTCGAGTCCCTATACATATATTCGAGTACACAACTAGTAAATATGAAGATACGAGTAGGTATATCATATTTGGTAATATTTAATAATAACCCGATATTGTCGTGTATTAGTCATTTTTGTTGCCAGTGTTCAAAGAATAATATATAAGCATTTTGTAGGTGTCTAAGTTTAGTGGCTAATAATGCTCTCCGAGGATCAAGGTATAGTATCTTAATAATAAAACTGCTAATATTTTTTTTTACCCAAGGATTTTTAGCTTACACATGGATTACTGCACATATAGTTGATGTAAATGGTCTGAAATCTTATTTTTATGATAGAAACTACAGAAATATAAGGATCACGCTAATAAATTACATTATTACAGATAATTTAAAATTATATTATGTCAAATTCATTTTTTCCGAGATCCACCATACGTTTATCCAGTAATCTAAAAAGTTCGCGTATTCCGTAGTGCTATCATCATAAATAAGATTTGTATATGTTATTGATATTTGCTATTTTTTATTGTGTACCATACTATAAAACCATATCGGTTTTCTTAAATCAATAATATGTACATATAAGAGCAACCCTTGATTAGTGACTTATTAAAGTAATACAGCCGCAATTAATAAGTAAATAAAGTCAGATTTATTTTATTCGGTAATACAACACACAAGATATGCTCTTATCTTATCTTAATACATATATAATAATAGGTTCGTATTCCCACAAGAACAGAAGATAATTGAAATTGCAGGAAACATGAATAAAAAGAAAAATATAATTCGGACAGGCGTTTTTTTTTCTTCATAATTAGTATTTTAAATACACTGTATACATAGTATTATAAATGCTAAAATGTGTCTGACTGTCTGTTTGTTACCATTACAAACTAAACGTCTCAATGGAATTTTATAAAGATTGTATGATGAAGACTGACTGGGCTTTTGCCTTAAAAAAGTAGATGAAGTTTGTTTCATTTAGCCGTTTTAAAAGGACCCAGAATCAGCACTGAATTCTTCTCCTCTTCTGTTATATTATCATATCAATTGCCATAATAATTTATATCTTTACAGGCAAGGTCGGTTTCACAAGTTCGTTGTGTCGCTGTCATTCATCGCGACACGCAGCGGTCTGCTCAAGTGGACTGAGAATATGAATAGTTCGAGAAGCTCCGACTCTGCTGAACAGTAATTATCTACTTATAATAGCTACATAAATACAAAAAGCATCGGATTCAATTCCAATATTGATTGAATTCAAATTAAATAATCATTCATTTATGTAGGATACTTTATTCACTGTCCTATCATCCAGTTTACTCATCATTCTTAGTTTGGAACTAGATGGCGCTGTATCCTGGGTTATTAATTATTATTGTTATAACTCTTTAAAAAAATGTCTTAAACGTTTTCAGGCATTTCAGTGAAAGATACGCCCGAGCGTTTGATTCAGAATGGTACCGGCGAGCGGTGGAACATCATGCCATAGAGCCCGAGAGTTTCGTCTTCTCTGTGCCTTTCCGCGACGGTTCCGAAGCTGACGACTTGAGTGGAAGACCACCTCTCGTTCTGGCGACCCATGCTGTATTCGTAGAATCGAGAGGACACAGAGCAGCCGCCGCTGTTGTTGGACTACATTTCCAGTTCGATTCCCTTGCGAAGCATTTTTTAAACGTTACTTCAACGGTATGTTTGTCTACACTTCTTAATTTATTATTACTTTATTGATAGGATTTTACAAATGACAAAATTACCTCTATCTCGTCTATTTCACATGCCAATCTGTTTGCTATATGATATGTGCTTCAGTTGAAGAGTGTGATAAGGCAGTGAAATTACAATGGCAATGCGTGGGTGATTTTTTTTATTATTGACTACTCTGCGGTCTGCATAGATCTATTGCGCTCACCCTTTTTCAAAGTTCGCTACCTCTTGGGGACAGGAATTGAAAGATATACTCAGGAGTGATGGTATATATCTCCTCATGGATATATACTTTCCAAAGGAGATATTTTGTTTATACATGAATGGGCTACAACCACATAGGATGTGTAGTGGTATTTCCTCTTTAATTTGCCAAAAAGCCTGAGTGAGAGTTAATATGATAACGTGATGCCGTCAACATGTGTGCCATTCCAGTTACATAAATTAAAAAACAAAGCAAGATTCTTTATTTTTACTAATCAAGTAACTTAACTTTTAGTGCACAGCCGGTAGCGTTTGTAAGAAAACGTGCGCGGGAGACGAGTTAGATTGCTACATATTAGATGACAACGGCTTCATCATCCTCTCCGAGGACGTATCTCAAACTGGGCGGTTCTTTGGACAAGTCGACGGCACTATTATGGATTCATTAGTTCAAGATCGCATATACAAGAAGATCACAGTGCATGACCATCAGGGAAGGTGCCCGGATTCTAGGAATCCTTTCAGTGGAGGCGTCAGTAAATTAACGGTAATTTCTAATAACCTGTTTAATCAGTAATATTTTTGACACTATTATATGCATGTAATATCTGTACCATAATTTCTTCCAGCCAATGAAACCATTTTCTTGGATTGGGAGCTATCTTGTGAACTTAATAGCAGTTTGGTTCCCACTTTGGGAGCCAGTTAAAGCAAGAGCACACCCGTATGCTGAAGAAGAAATAGGTATGTTGAAAAAGACACTAGATTCTATAAGTAGTCAACTTTTATTTTGTTAAATAATTTCATAGATTGTCTTATGAGGATGAATTAAAAATTAAATTTACGTTACATTTAAATTTATCAATATAATCATCATTCACTGTTTATGACTGCCCAAAGACCTACTTTATTCACCTCCCTAAGGGAATAGTCTAGCAAACTTACATTTGATTGCGGTGCAAACGATAGTTAATCTAAAAAATAACTATGGAATATCTTAAATACATTAGATTCAAAATCAAATGATACAGAAAGGAAATTAATTGGTGCCTCGCCAAAGCAGGCCTGTCTACTATTCTGTATTAAAAAATTATAATATATATATATTTTAAGTTCATATATATCTAAAGCAGATTATGAGGACTACGAAAACGAAGACTCGGAAAGCGAAGATGACCTGGATCGAGACAGGGGGACGTATGAGATCATTATCGATGGGATCGGAGGCAGCGGGGGCGGCGGCGGGGCTGCAGAGCCTCCCCGCGGGGCAGGGGGTGGCGCCAACGCGGGCACGGGGGGCGCAGGCCGAGAGCCTCCTCGTGAGGCAGCGCGTTCTGCCGCGGTACGCCCGTGCGACACCAGCGCCGAGCTGTTCACGCTGCAGTCCACTCGACTCAACGCAGCACAGCCACTCAAAGGGAAACTTACCAATTGTCACAATTCTGGCTGTGAAAGGTAAGTTGTTTATATAATTGGAATGACCGAACATGCTCATATCTCATCTAAGTGGTAATCGTGGTATACATAATCACGAACATTAAAGAACACTATAACGCCCATGATAAATCGAGCTTCGTCATATCCGAGGAGTAATTTATTATGGGTCTGTACTCTCACTTTTAAAACTGGTACAACCCTCTGGTGGCAAAGTTATATGTTAGTTGGTGATTTAAAAGAAATATTAAAAGAAATAAAATATGAAAATTAATATATGGGTTAACATAACGTATTTGTGTCATGTATATATGTGACGCTGTGTGTCCTGGTTTATTATTCAACCTTAAATTCTCGTGTCACAATGTTAGTTATCATACTCCTCCGAAAAGGCTTGACCGATTTTTATGGAATTTTATATGCATATTCATTAGGTCTGAGAATTGGCTACTATCTATTTTTCATACTCCTAAGTGATAACGGCTGTCCACCCGTAACATTTTTTAAACCTTTTTTATTTTTATTTTAGTGGCATTATACAATACAGACAACCCTAAATTCACCCATCTACCATATTTTTTAAGAGCGATTTTAATTTATATGTCAAAACAACGTTTGCGGGGTCAGCTAGTTATATCTATTATTATTTGTGGGCAGGCCGTTCAGCGTACAGAAGATCCAGCACAGCAACCTGATCCTTCTGGTGGTGGACACGCTGTGCCCGTGCGGCGCCAAGCGACTGGACGTGCGAGCCCGGGAGGCGCCACCGCCCGTCTGCCGCCGCGCCGCGCCGCGCCACCGCCGCCGCCGCCCCGCGCACTGCCTCTCATACCACCCAGAGGTACGTGCAACCACTACCCACTACCCACCTTTACACCTACCGACCTCCTTCCACAAGCTAATAGGCATCCACTACCCGCCTTCACACCTACTGACCTGCTTTCACAAGCTAATAGGCGTCCATTACCCGTCTTAACACGTACCGTCCTCCTTTTACAAGCTAATAGGTATCCACTACCCGTCTTTACAGCTACCGACCTCCTTTTACAAGCTAATAGGTATACACTACCCGTATTTACACCTACCAACCTCCTTTCACAAGCTAATAGGCATTCACTACCTGCCTTTACACCTACCGACCTGCTTTCACAAGCTAATAGGTATACACTACCCGTATTTACACCTACCAACCTCCTTTCACAAGCTAATAGGCATTCACTACCTGCCTTTACACCTACCGACCTGCTTTCACAAGCTTATAGGTGTCCATTACCCGTCTTTACACCTACCGTCCTACTACACTACACTACCCGCACTCGTGAAATGAGTCTAATGTAATTTTAAAATATACATGTGTCCATATAATGAAAATAAAAATATTTAACTACAGGAAATAGAAATCCAGTCTTGCGGACGCGGCGGCCGAACGCAACCACTGCTAGCACTAGTGGCAGCGCTGATGGTGCGACTGTGGTTCACCACGTGACTGCCACAAGAATAGCTGTAAACCCACAAGCCACCACCCCAGGGTCCGCGACGGGCCCTGAACGCGATCTACTGATAAGCTTCCCAACGAATTATAGTCTTTAAAAATGTTATAACAATGACTGATTTTCAATATCACCTGAGAAGGGAAGCTTCTAACTAAAGCGGATCGTCGTTCAAATGTTCGAGCGTCGTGTGAGTGTGGGACTGTTTGTATTGGAGTGTGCAATAAATGTTGATTGTTGCGCTATTGGGTAAATAATGTGGCGCCTTGTACCACTTCCTTTAGTGTCGTAACACACTTTACTTTTAGCATCAGCGTTCTTCGCGTTCTAATGCTATTCATGCAGCGTCTTCATTCATACTGCGTTGCTGTATTAAGAGCGAGCAGCTTCGCTTGTATCGATGAAATCCTTTCCCTGACTGAGTAGACAAGCTTGAAGAGGTAAACTATTCCATATTCCGTTTCTTCCACAGAATTATTTTTAGTTCTTAAAATTCGCCTTTAAAAAGTTAGATCTTATTACGTTACATAGGTAGTCTGTGGGCTCGTAAAAAGATGATTCGTCGGCCCGTCAACATGTAGGTAATTCAGTTTCTATGTACGATATTACGAATTTAGCCGATGAGTCTGAAGCTAATTGAAGTGCAATTTTCTAGTTCGCGTCTAATACCTTATTATATATTATTTACTGATGCCGTAAAGATTATGAAAAAGTTATTTCAAATCAAAGTGCTTACTATCTCTCTCGAAACTAAAAAAAACGCACATCCTAAAAGTATAGTGTGTTCGACCAATAATGGTACCCGTATGCGTGCAAGAATTAAGAGTTTTGATCAATTTACCGACTGAAGTTTTGGTCCGACCAAATGAACTTTCAATCTTGTTTTGATACAGGATTATCTATTCGTACTAGGATATGATAAATATTAACATATTTTCCCCTCTTTGTTAAGTTGTCGCGTTTCATATTGTAACAAATGCAGATGCATACAGTAAATAGGTAGGTAACTAATATCTTGTTAAATTTAAAATGAAGATTATCACAAACTTGGAGATCGTATATATTATAGCTAATGTTAATAAGTATTGAAAAATAATGTAAAAATATTATCGTTTGAAACTGTTTTAGAAAAATTTACCTATGTTGAACCTTACTCAATTTGTTTCTTGTCTGACATTCGAATTAATCGCAATCTTATATTGAATAGTTGCATAGTGTTGATGTAAATAAGAAATGTTTTGTTTGTAGATGATTACGTTGCAGAATTTATGTGTGCCTGTGTAATTATTATGTAAAGTCGTGTCATACAGACGGGTGTCGCGATAACTATAATATAGAACAAGGTATGAGGAGAACTAATCAAATAAATATATTACAATTAATAATAATACAAGATAGCGAACAAATTTTACCATTACATTCCAGCGTTTCTGTGATAGGTTAATAATACAAGCACTTTTTAAATAATGATTCTGAAATATTTAAAATTAATTTAATTAAAAATTGACAGATGATACATACTTTGCTATAATCTATTTTGTATCTACTTATTGATAAACGTGTTACATTAGAAATGTTGTCGAATATTTGTAAATAGTTCCTCACTAGTCGCGACACCGATCCTAAATCGACTACTCATTTGTCTAGTTGTTAGTGATTTTTCTCGCCTAATCTTCGAATAATGTCGTATTGAACGAACTGTAAACAGTTTCGTGTTTTTATTGTAAATATTTTACTAACTTTAAATGGCCTACTACAATTTTAAGAACGTGTGTTGCTAATCGTTTTGTCGTTCAAATCGACTTCTGTGGTAATCTACGTCATATCGACCTAACATAATTGTTATAATTTGCATATCACGTTCCTTGATATTTTCTGGGTGTAGATTTCGTATTCTACTTTCATACATGTTTGTACGTTACCCAGATGTGAATGTTACATATAATACAAATTCATGAACTATAGATATTTTGTACCATATCGAGTAGTCATATTGTCGGTAGTATGGATCGCTTGCTGTTGTCCGTTTGATGTCATATCATTGGTAAATTTATCTACGACAAATGTTTTGAAATAGTACAAAGATATTAAGTATAATAGTTTAATTAGATGTCGAGTGCCAAACCACTGTGTTTGATTTAGTTCACGATACATACAATTTAGATTACGGGACCGATACTTTATGTAACTAAGTAGGACAATGGCAAGCTGGGAAATGTATAGAAAATTAAATTGGTAACAGTATTCTTCGTTGAAATAACGGGATTATTCTTTTAATCAAAAGAGCAAAAAGCGATTACGAGCATTACGACACCTCTTACGAGAGATTGAAATAATTTATTTAAAAAGTAAAAAGTAAATACGAGAATATAAAATTCCTTATTCACAAACAAAACTTCAAATAAGATATTTGACGTTTCTTATTCACATTCACATACACAGTTTATTATTCTTTAAGCTCCCTAATTTAAAAAATAAATGACAATAATGTTAGTAATAAATAATGTGTTTAATATTTAAAGTTACACAATATATTTTTATGTTAATGTGTTTTGCAGACTTAATTTTTTATGAATAAAATATGGAGAAATGGAGATGGAATACAAAGGGATAATTAATTTTGTATGTGAAGCAATGCAATATTCATTCAGATTAAACTTTTATAAAACATATAATTTCTTTCAACTATAATCTATAATAACTGAGGAACGTTTAGTATTTGACTTCGTAATTACTCAGATATCATATACACAGTCTACTAGATAAAATTATTTGCGCTGTATGTGACAATACTGATGTAGGTGCTAAACAGCGACAATAAAATAAAAATGACAATAGAGAATACTGATACTAATTTATACATATCACCTAATCATTACATAATCAATGTCGTAAATAATACATATACACAAACTGTAAAACAGATATATTGGTAGCTTTTATAATTTCTGTATATCATACGAATTTCTCATACAACAAAATGTATGCAATTGAGTGACGATGCTTTTAAATTTAATTGCAAGAATCATGGTCATCAAACATACGGTAAATTATAAAAGCGACCATTGGGAGGCGCTTTTGAGTAATTGTACATTTTGTATAAATACAGTAAGGAGTCGATATAATGGCGTAGGAGATTGTTTTAACTGGTGATTGGCGAGCGACTGGTAATGTATTGAAAGTGCTTCTTGTAAGCGTCGAGTCTTCCATAGCAGTCGAACGCGCCGGGCGAGTGTTTACTGTAACGTTTAAGTATTAAAAGATAATAATAGCGTATACTTATCATAGAATAGGCCGGTTCGGGCGGTGTGCAGATATTTTTAATTGCACTTCGCGGTTTTAGTTTATAACTCTGATAGACACAAATCAAATACCTCGTTTAGTTACACAAAACATAATAGCTAGAAAATTTGCATTTATTTCGCATTTTATTGTGGAACATATCAATTCAGACACCAAAGACTAGTGTAAGCTATTTTTTTTTTGTTTTGTGCCCATAAGGCTAACCTCACATTAACGTTACATGTTATAAGGCGAATCTTCCACACTAAATGACAATAATATTTATCAGTGTACACCGAGTATGACGACTGACAAATATTTCAGAATAGTTGGTAAATTTACGGATTAAGATGAAATAAACGGCCAAAATGGCCGTAAATTTTGGATATTACGAGTTTATATTAAAAATTTTCAACATCTGCAGGGATAGAAATTTTTAGTAAGATCAGTTTAATGTGGCGGTAGCCTTATGTGGAATCCCTATATAATGCAAGAAACAGTGGGCATCACTTAATATGAGACAGTGGTCTCGCAATCTTGCCCACATTTACATAATCTATTAAATACAATTGTCTATAAAATTTTAATAATATATTTCCGTTACTTCAAAATGTCGATTCCTGTTAACGCTTTTAGGGTGTATATTCAAAATAAAATATATGTACTTACGTGAAAGAATTTGAAATTATATTGGAAACAAATTTTGATGTCATCGTTTTTTATCTATATTGTTTTCGTACGTTAGTTAAATGATAATAATTGGTATTGGGCACGGCCAACTCTGTGAACATGGTTCTCTAGTGTAATTAGTGAAATACTGTTTCTTTTCGTTACTTGCCAGTTCATGCTATAGATATACCATAATTACAACAATAAAGTTCTCTTATAACATTGTGATTATTGTGTTTTATTTAACAACTATATTTTATTATTCATTTTGATCGAGCGTCACCTGGGCTTCTCTGTAGATTAGAATTATATAACCCATTCCTATACTTTTTTTCATCCCGTCCTTTCTCATCCATTCCCGCTACTTCTCATTCTTCCCAATTCTATCTCATTCTAATGTATTATTTAATTAAATATTTAAATTAACCGCTAAGACTAGTTTGAAAGAGGAAAAAGTAGTACAGCAGGCTTGAATGTCAATAAGATTTTTTACATAAACAGTACTAACGAACGCTTCGTTACCAGGTCGGGTCCTTAATATTAACCTCCTAAAACTGCTAACTAATAAAGGAGGAAATTCTACTTTTGATACTTATTTTTTTATAATAAATACGTTCTTTAAAGATAAAATCGGAACTTTAACTTTAGAAAAAAAAATTAAGAGAATCTACATGTTTTACTATTAATATCAATAATAATTCCTTCAAACTACATGTAGTTGACAGGGATGCATTTTTATAGCGGTGAGGATTGGAAATAAAACGCATCTATTTAGGAATTAGTCATCTATTTTACATGTAAAGACTGGCGGCAAAGACAATGTCGCGCTTGAGTAGTTTGATCGCTTCACTAAACTTATTCTCGAGATCTGTGTTGCCGATATTCTTGGCCGCTTGGCACAGCTGTCTTAGAACTTCTTCTAGACGTCGCATACATCGTATGATGGAACCTAAAAATAACAACCAGATATATTATCCAATTAGTTTCATAAGAATTAACAAAGTATGGGTTAGTTAGTTAATTAGTTAATTATTTATAAATGGACAGGAATTGCAGTACAGATTTTTATGATTATTTTTATTGGAATTTCCTCTGCTCCGAATAGCAGAATAATTAAAAAAATAATGAAAATTACTTATAAAAAATATTCACTTCTCAAGTGCCTACATTTTGAAGGTAGGCATTGTTTAATCATAGAGTAAGAATTTGACTCTTGAGACCTAACCAGATAAATTGATTAAAAACTGTAAATGAAATAAATTAATAAGATGACGGACCAACAGACTTGGAAACAAAATATTTTTGAAATGATATATCTAGTATATCTAATTACCTTCAAACACATCAGTCATCTTGCAGATCTGTAAGAAGGTGGCGCCCTTCGCCCACGCGAGCACCACGTCCATCAGGGTGCATTTGAACTTGCTCACGTATTCGTCCTCGTCGATGTCCATTTTAGCATCAATTGACACTTTCGCGATACGACGCGCGTATTCCTGAATAGTAGATGTAATTACTAATCCCATTTAAATATTACGGTAGATATTATAGTATATATATTATACTAATATTATAAACACGTAAATAGAAGTTTGTGAGTGGAAGGATGGATGTTAGTTACTCTTTCACTTAAAAACTACTGAATAGCTATAATTCACACATAGACTAAATTTCAAGCGAGTAAAACCGATAGCACAGCTATTTGACTATAATAATAATAATTACCCTGGACAATTTACACAGTGCTATCTATATTTTTGTAAATACTATAATCATACAATGCTTGAATTATCATCTTTTGTAGGTACTGTTTTTTTGAGCAAATAAATTATTATTATCATATTAAAGGAACGGAAAATGTGTTAAAACATTCCGCCCCCATACCCGGTACGGGGGTAATTAGACAGTTCATAAAATTCAGCTAGAATAGAGATAGACTAGGAACAAAATGATGTATGTGTATGTAAATGGGTGCATGCGTGCGTGCGTGCGTGTATGATTACATTGTGTGATACAGTCAAAGTCCCGTACCTGCAGCTGACGCAGCACGCCCCTGAGGTCCTGTCCGCCGGCGGAGGGCTGCGAGGAGTTCTCGTCGCATACGAAGCAGCTCACCAGCGCCGCGCTCTGCTGCGACGTCAGCGAATTGAAGACCCCGTTGAAGATCAACTCAGTCAGTAGTAACTCGTCCGCGCTGCATACATTAAGATTATTTTGCTGATATTATAAACGCGAAGTTTGTGACTATAGATAGATAGATGGATGGATGGCAGTTTGTTACTCGTTCACGGAAAAACTACTTAAAGGATTTTCATGACTCTATAAATTAATATTGAATTAATAACATTAATAATGAAATACCATTAAATAAATTATGTAACTAATGTTAAAAATATGGTATATTAGCCACATAAAGACGAATATAACTAATATACCATATTTTTCCGCACCGTAAACAAATTATACGTATTACAAACTATGTTATATATATTTTTAGAATTACTACATTGTTTTAAACAATTAGTCACTAAAATATTTGCGACTATACCGGTGTTTTTTGTTCTCGTCTGTCACATCACTCCTTTACAATCCCGTATTAAACTACAGGTGCATAGATAATGTTAAATATTACAACCTGCTCAGTTCACAGGCGATGCGACCCTTCATCTCAATGACATCCGCAGCCGTACAGTACCCGAGCCGCCGCAATACACGTTTCCGCTTCTTCAACTCGTCCATATGTAGTATACTCTTTGCTTTCTTCAAATCCTCCTTCGCTTGCGTCAGTTCTTCATACAGTTCTTGTTTGCTGTTATACGCGGCGGTGAGAGCGCCGCGATTCTTGTCATTGTGTAGAGGATGTGCATATAATCTGATAGTACAGAAAACTATAGAAAACATCCAGACCAACACAGATAATCACACTCATAAATACAAATGTTTGTATCGTGCGAGGAACCCACGACCATCAGAGGTAATGTGGTACACTAAACTGCTAAACCACCGAGGATAATGGCGATAGAGATCAGCATATCGGCCAATATCGTATGTATATCTTTAATGGGACATATGATAATATTTTTTTTACGTAATTAGGAAAACAAGACGCCCACCTGATAATAAGTAGCAACCTATATACATCAATAACACCACCATCGCATTCTAGGATATGATGCTTCTGTATCCTGTAATTTGTCTACCGTATGTTGTGACATATGGCATAAGTGTGCTTCAAACCGAAACGTAGCTTACAAGACAAGCTGCTTGTTCACTGAAATGTGCGAGACATATAGAAAGTCAAAGTTTTAGAGTATAAATAAATACAATTACATTAATAAAATGAGTTACTCACCTTTCTTCCAATTTTTTAATCTGATCAACGCAGTCTATGAATACTTTGTCAGTAATCTTCATTTCTTTTATGGGGTTCAAAAGTGGTGGTCCCTCGGGGAAGCGCTTTTTGACCTCCCCGATGGTCTTCAGAACAGATTTCCGACTGTCCGAGGGTCGTAAGTCCTTAGGATAGTATACCCTCAGGGAGCTGATCTGATAGATCAGGGTATGAAGAACGGGCACCACTTCTATGTCACCAGTCTGTTTATGTATATTTATTTATTATAGCAAACAATTTTGAACGATGCTACAGATATCATAAATCTCAAAATTAATTCTCAAGCAGACAGTTTTTTTTTTTTATACACCGCAGTAAAATCGATTATTAAATATTACGGAGATAGCCGTGCACGGCACAGAAAAACAAAAATTTATTGACCTAGGTAACACATAATTCTAAACAATTAGTTTATTGCAAAAAAAATATGTACAGACATTTGCCAATGAGAAATATCTGTACATATTGTTTTTACTCAACAAGAGTAAAACATTTTAAAAGAATATATTTATGTGTCACCTCTCCTGGCGGGCAGGGCACGTTGCTCTCCGGATCGTCATCGACAGATTTCTTCACGTGCAGCAGTATGTCGACAACGATGGTAGCTTCCGATGTTAACGGGTTTTCTTCCTGTCCCTTCTTGCCTTTCTGCGTGCGATGCCTGAAGTTCACTATGATACCCCAGTCATATTCATATTTTTCTGTTTTAACCTGTAGAATAGGTGAGAATGGTTCTCAGTTATGGTTCATACCTTCATCGGCGTATTACTGTATTTCATTTCGTTAGCACATGTGGTGTACCATTACATATTAATACAAAAAACTGTTAAATAAATGTTAAACAATAATATATACTACATTATAAGTTACTAGTTAACCCGCGCAACTTCGCCTATGTTACATATTAGTTGTTTTTGCAATACTTTTCATTGCTCCCCTTCTAATGGTAACGTAATGTTATTTAGGCCATAGCTTTCTTCTTTCTATACAAACATATAACAAATAAATATGTATAATATTGTAAACTAATGAAAATGGGCTGTTCAATTCTAAAATATTTTTCATATTGAAACCTGTAGTTCCTGAGATTATCGAGTTCATCCAAACATACAAAGAAACTCTTCACCTTCATATTATTTATCATAATTTTCTAAAGACGTTACACTCACTCATATATAACCTAATATTTAAGAAAATCTGTACCTTAACTAATCTGCCTGGCTGCAAGAAAGGCTTCAGATATTCAGGGCGAGTGATGAACGATCGGAACTGCGAACCCAACAGATCCAGCTGCGACCTGATGGTGCAGTATGCTGCTATTGAGTGCTCTTCGTCGATTGTTAGTGCGTTGTACTCCTTTTGTTTATCCTTCGCCTCTTTAGAATGATACAATTAATTATATTATTAAAATTTTTAATAAAGCCTGTACAGTAATTTAACTTAAAGAGGTTTTGTAGTAGAGGAGTGTATGGTCAGTAGGTAAATTAATACACAATATTTTTTTATAAAAATATTGTGTATTAATCTATCTACTACCTAGATCTATTATTATACGTAGGTTACGTATAAACGTACTAAAAATAATTTTAAATCCATCCAAGCATTTCTTCAACTGCAGTAACATAGACAACTAATTAAAACATTGTACTCGTTAATAACACTTTTTTTATATACGTATTAACGTTTTGCAAATTAGCTGTAAATTTATCTTAATATTGTATCAATTAATTAAAAAAATAAAATACTTCGTTTTATTTCTACGCTACAAGGGATTGACGCGTCAATCTCGTTCGACAGTACTACAAATGCAAAAACGTGTTAAGTTGAAGTTGTACTTATTATCATAATGACTGTAATATTATATGTGATTTAAAAGTTGATTTTGTATAGATAAAGTTAAAATATGTAGGTGAAATATTTCTTTTTTTTTTTTATGTTTATCCAGTACTAAGAAGCGAACAAACATTATAAAGTCTAATTAATTGAATATTTCCTGTATACAATATTCATATAGAAGTAGTAGTAAGAGTAATTTCCATTGTCATTTTTAATGAAAAACAAAATTTACAAAATTATTTCAAATAAAAATTTATATCAATTATAATTTAAAAAATTAATTAACTTACTGTCTATTAGATCCGGAATCGAAGCCTGATTTTGAAACTGGAAGAAACTTCTTTCCAACATGTACTCAGGGTTGATCTCTTCCACTCGTAACAGATTTAGAACCTATAAGATATTTAATATTAATATAATGCAGATTTCATAGATTAATGACCAGTATTTACATATTTCTGTGCACAATTTATGTAATGAATATTTATAAATAAGATTATTTGTATATTAAGAGTACCAAGCAAAATTAATAATTCTGAGAGTTAATGTAGTAAATCAATTTCCCAATTCGATTAATCTATTGGAATAATTAGGACAATCACACAAAAACTAAAGGAATTGAAATAAAATTACATTAAAGACATATCATTTGTCTGTGTACTACAGACAAATGATATGTCTAATATTAGATAGAGCCTATACTCACCATGTTATATGTGAGATGGAAAGCAGAATTGATGGGGTCCGCTTTGCCTTGAACCATGTCCTTAACGATTGTAGGCGTCATCTTCTGATCAATCATCAGTATCACTATACCCTTGTCGTCAAGACCTCGCCGACCCGCGCGACCTGACATCTGGATGTACTCGCCAGATGATATCTGCAATAAATCATTTATCACAACATGTATATTAATTTATTTTTATCCAACTACAGTCATGTTTCTATTTTAATGAATGAGGTGTTATTTTACTTCCAATCTATATCCGTACTCTATTCAATGCCTGTAGATACCCCGTTCAGAGGTGATACACATGTCACAATATGAGCATAGACTACAACGGTCAGAATTTGATGACCACTAGAGAAAATCCTAACGGTAGTAAAGTTACCACGACGGATATTTGTTATCTCATACATGCTAATTGTAGCGGAATTAAACGTGAATAGAAATCCATTAAGTATTCATGTTTTTCTATTGTAATAAAAGCATAAATTTCACCAAAGTATATTTAAGTATCTCCCGAAATTTTAGTAGGGAAAGTTTACATTTTAAGATATCTATTATTTCTCGCATTTTTTTTTTCATTTCTGATGAGGATACAGTCAAATAATACAATAAAATACGATTTGACTTACAAATCTGAAGTCTTTTCCATCAAATTTCTGGCAAGATGTGAAAACTACAGTCCTGGCTGGCATATTTAATCCCATCGCAAATGTCTCTGTAGCAAACAGAGCCTGTAAAAAAGCAAATTATTTAGACAAGCCACAAATTGTTACTTTATTTATAAAAATACTAAAATATCTATCTAAGTATTTTGACTTTCTTTAAAATGTTTTTGAATTTTCTATTCTATTCAGGATCCTTTCCTAGGTGAATTGGGATTGTAAGTTTTAGTTTTTGTAACAAAATATGTTCTTCCTGCTCAATATACCCTATCGGTGCAGGAATAGACTGTATGTGGCTGGAAAGGTACATACAATTCCATCCTAAACTTACGACATACATGGGTGAAAAAATTAAACAGCAGAGTTGTGCAAGAAATTAAGGATATCCAGTTCATACAAAAGTATTCTGTTATGTCCCTGATACTATTTATGCTTATAGAGAATGGATAATGTGTTCCATCAAGTACGAATTTGCTTATTTAGGATGGAAGGGGATTGTTAGTAATGTGGACTTTTGACCACATTGCAAACAATGTACCATCTCAGGTTGACCTCCACGCAGTTCCCCCTGGAAACCATCATGATAAATACCTGGTGAATATGTTACGAAGAGCTAACTGACCAGATCTAATGTTCATCTTATCATCCTCAACTGGTGCCCCTTCAGTGTATACTATTGCATATTCATATTTTAAAAAAAGCATTTTGTTTATTTACCATTAAAATAAAGTACCTTTATTAGTCCCAACCCAAATAATATCTCGATGGTCTCTTTAAGAATGGGCAGCAATCCACCATGATGGATGCCAATGCCACGTCGCAGCAGTGGTATTACGTTCTCAACTTGCGGCAGCTTGCGATCTTCCTCGGACAGTACATCCATGGCGTTATTAAACACCTCGTCAACCAGCTTCTTCTCTTCAACTGAACATCAATAATAAATTAGAATTAATATTACGGGAGAAAAACTATGACAGAACGTGTATTCATTTATGTCAGCGCTTTAGTCTAATTTATATATATATATATATATTTGTTAAAATCGTTTTGAGGTATGCAAGTACTATTTCATAAACTTATGATTTCAATTTTAAAGACATGTGACCTTCTTATGTAGTGCCCGAGATACCGGTCATGCATTCCCATTCCAAAGAAGAAAGGTATCACGCTTCTTACTCTATAATTTCACCGCCTTATTCAACAGACTCACTGTTTATAAAATAGGTGGGAGTGAGGTACCCAAGCAGAACATTTCAAAAATTATACAATTGCAACCAATTGAGATCTTAAACTCACTTGTGTTAAAGTCCAATTTGGCCATCTGCATGGCATACGCCTCACAGTCTTTCTTGCTAAAACTGAATATAATTACGGGGGCAAAATTCCGCTCCATGATCATCTTGACTATGTTGAAGATATTAGTCTGGTTGCCCCCTCGAGAACCACCACGTCGGCCACGCTGATCACCTTTACCCGCATCACCGGCATTACTGAGCACCGCCATCGCTGTGTTAAAGTTGTCTTCTTTAAATTGTCCCTAGAATATATTTTTTTATTAATATTAGGAAGTATTACAGTAAGAGTCTATTATAGATTAGAGATAAAATTATTGCTAATATTATTTTAATAATAATATAAATTATAGTTTGTTATGTAGGTCAGCTATTTAAGATAAAATACAGGCATACTCATGTACATGATAGTGTAATCCGCTACATTATCAAAGTCATCAGGGGTCACAAAATCACATTTAAATTTTAGTAGAAAAACACGAATATTAACTATTAAAATGTGACCAATTAATATCCTCCTGATAACTGTGACGTAATTTATTGGTAAGGAAAAAAATGTCTGCTAAACTTTTGGTATTAATGACCTTAAATACCATTGATACCAAAACTTTAACAGAGAGTTTGAGGAGATATACTTCAAGCAATCAATTAAGTTAAAATGATCATGATATAAACTATAACTTGCCAACAATCAGTAGGCAATAGTCATTGCATATAAACTTAAAATGTATGTACCACATATCTTTATTAAATAAATAAAATAATGATGCAAAAAAATACACATAGTAAGTAAAGTAACATACCTTTTCATCAACAACAAGATGGATACCATCACCGCCGGCTGGAAAGATATAGTGCTGGAGTGGTGTTGGTCGGTACTCTGTATAAACCACGTGGCAAGGCTGCGAGTGTAGCCGACACACCCACTCGGCGAATTGCCTTGCGTTGGGTATTGTAGCAGACAGGAACACATAATGTACATTGTCTGGCAGCAGGATTAATGTTTCTGAAAGATTATAATCATTTAGAAAACTTATAACCAATTTCACACCTTGAGAACCTCATATATATATTAATGATTAACTCAAAAATCAATTGGAGTAATAAATAGATTTAATAATAGATATTTAATTCTTCTTGTATGATGTATTTTTTCCAATTTAAAATTCATAATCCTTAATATATATATATATGTATGTCCTATAAGAGTTCTGGATTGGTTATATAAGTTATCCAAGAATATTTCTAATAAAATAAATTGACAGAAACAGAACAAATTGTTATTGAAATAAACATTAGAATTGTCATATTTTTTTGGAGCAAGAAACTTGTGTGTTGCTCTTGCATTATCTATATACATACATAATTGTTTGTATACAATATATGTATCTTAAATCAATACTGTTATCTCCAATAGAGTAGTTAGACACATTATTACCCACCAACATCAAACCATAACACTGTCTGTTTTATTGCATAGTAATATGGAAAAATACTTACCTTCCCAAACAACACCTCTCTCCTTATCTCTCATATAGTGGATCTCGTCAAATATAACCCATCCGACTTCACGCATAATCTCCGAGCCTCTATACAACATGTTCCTTAGAATCTTAATTGTAACATGTAAAAAAAGTATTTACACTTTATAATTATATTAATATTATATTATCTACAATAAAACTGTAATCATGAAAATTCATACATAACTGTAAAATAATTATTAATATAAATCAAATATAAATACTTCTATTTTTGGGAATAGATTCAGTTTCTAAATATTTTTTGACTATTACAAATTTTTAAATTATCATGATTGATATGATTATTGCTTGTAAGTGGAAGTCAATGGTCTCTAGGTCCTCTCTACCTTCCCATATGGAATCTGCTGCATTCTAATTACACATAACACAGTTGCTAATAATTTTCAATTATAACAAATTCTAATTAACAGGGTTGCAATTTTATAGGAGCTATTTGTGAGATGTACTCAAAAGCTATGTTACAGAGTTTATAATTGAAACTATAACATGATCGTAAAATTATAGATTAGAAATATATAAGGTATAGCAGCCTAGCACGCCACTTTACGTCCGATGGTTGCGGGTTCGATTCCTCGCACGGCTCAAACATTTTCTATGTATAATATGTATGTATTTACGAAAAAAGAAATATCTATGTATTTGTATCAGTTATCTAGTACCTGTAACACAAGCTTTAGCTAGCTTAACTTTAGTCTAGATGGCGCTGTGTGAATTGTCTTGAGATTATTATTATTAAATTATGGATTAATGTATTTTTTAATCTGAAAGGATTTTTATTAATTGAATTACAGCCCCAGAAATATCGCATATGGAATAGTGAATAAAATATGGTACCTCAGTGGTCATAATGAGACAAGAAGCTGAGGGATTAATAGTGACATCTCCTGTAATAAGACCAACATCATGAAACTCTTCTGAGAACTCTCTGTACTTCTGGTTGGAAAGTGCTTTTATTGGGGTTGTGTATATGACTCTTTGTTTGTTCTTTAGTGAAAGAGCAATGGCATATCTGCAACATAAAATTATAATTTTATTTCATAATTACAGTAATGTTTTTATGTTAAATGTGACATAAGATTATACCGTTCAATAAATTTAAAAAATTGTGTCACAAGTTTTCCCCTAATGCATCAAGTTGCATTGCATCCCTCACTTTATTGCTCTCTTTTTCATTTAGCATTCATTATGATTTTATTTTCAGCACATAATGGTCATAGCATTATTTTCAATAGCCTATCCTAAATCCTCTAAAGTTAAGCTGTCATGGAAAAAAACTTTCTTCTTTTGTATAAAAGCAGAAAGTTTTTTTCCAACTCCCATTACCATGTATGCACAAAGCATATTTTAGAATAAATAATACTTACTCGGCGACAACTGTTTTACCAGCAGATGTGTGAGCTGAAACTAGTACAGATTGCACATTGTCTATGCATGATATGGCTTCTTTTTGAAAGGGATCCAATATGAAACTGTATTGCTTGGCCGGTTCGGATGTGAGGGGTATTAGTGGTGCATATTCATGGTTTGGTGGTATTGCCACCTCATGTGTACAGCCTTCATGTGTCTCTAAAGTGTGTATAACAATTCGGGAATTGAGTAGTTCTAAGCTAAAAAGAAATATGTATTCATTCAGTTTAATTTATAATACTCGTAAATAAAATAAAATTAGATACAAGAACATTTCAAAAGTCCGTAATAATCATTGTTTCTCAAGATTTTATTCATATAAATTTTTAATATTAATGAAATATTAATAATTAATTTAAATTAAATAATTTCCATATTTTATGTTATTTTAAGGTTATTTTTTTTACACATAAAAAAATGTTAGGTAAAAAGTCTTTCTTAACAAATGAAGTCTTTCTTACTTAATGTCACTGATTAATTCTGAAGGATCCTCATCAGGTTTTGTTTTTTTTGCTTCTGATGTATCTGCATACTCTACCTCCTCATGTGGCCGTTTGTTCGTTGATGATGAAGAATCTTGAGATATGGCACTAAAATTTAAAGAAAAAAATTAGGCTAATTAAAAAAATTGCTAAAAGATATCCGATTAATATCTCCTAATCAACTGTAATAATATAGTATATCTACAAAGTTTTAGAGCTACTACTCTAAAACTTTGTAGATGACTGATCTAAAACTTAGAAGAATGACTGTATTTTAGAACAAATATAACATCAAAATGGAAACAAGTTGCACCTTCATGCCGTCATATTACCCAAGATTTATTCACATGGTTTCCCTCCATATTACAAGATTTGGTGCAATAAACCATACTACTACCCTCTTGCCCTCAATGACACTTTTATTGCTCACTGAAATACATCAATGACTTTAGTAGACTTAACACAACACTACATAATATAAAAAATAACTATGTGACGGCTAAATTTAGGTAAGTTGCTTTTGAGGTTATATGAAATCTTACGATATATCTTTGCTGTTTTGAATGCTTGGGAACGGCGTAGGAGTTTCATTTTGAGCTGACTCGTCAAAACAATCAAATAAACTGTTAACATCAGACATTGTTTATACAATTTCAATCATAACTGTAAATATAAATAATAAATATTACTTTCAAGTTAAGAATTTAAAAAATATATACTAAAATTGTGAATTTTAGAAGACACAACTGTCAGAATGCCATTTGACTTCTCTGTGCTGTCGTTGGCTTTTGTCAATGTCACTATAAGTCAATCTATTCAATCACTTCTTAATACCTCTGCAGTATCATAATATCTTATATTATTTTGTATTAATAAAACATAAAAGGAGTCAAGTGACAAATTTATTAAAGTAATTTTTTTTTATCGTACAAAAGTCAGATTATACATCGTTTATACAGTCAATTACACAATGACATTTATCTACATGGGGCCAATTAGACAGAAATTGCTTTAATTTTTTTTTATACTTAGCAAATTTTTTTTGTTGTTTTTAGTAAAAATGTTTTAAATTTATTACTGCAAATAATAGTATGTGTATATAACTTTATAATTATGATCAATGATTACAACGAATAACGTTCAGAGTTCTTAATTCTTAATAAATACTTCAATTGTATTAGTATTAAAGTATTTATTTGAGTTACCTGAGTTTGAATTGACTACAAAATATTATATGAATAGATTTTAGATGAAATCGTTTGAAACATAATAAAAACCTTTAGAGTTTGATAGTGTAATAGTTGAATATTATCGAAGAAATAATCATAAATTTAAATACTGGCAACATTATTTGTGACTCAATGGTCACGTGACCACACAAGCTTGGATTTACAATTTGATTGGTTGTCGTTTGTGGTGATTTCTTCCGAGAACTCGCTTGGTCTGTTGTTAGCGTTGGTGAAATTGTGAATTCATACATTTTAATATATTTATATTAATTATTGTGACATAAACATTACTTTACAATGTCGTCTAAAACAAAAAAGACTGTAACATCTACATCAAACATAAGTGTGGTGTCATCTGTACAAAGCCCTCCGCAATCAAGCACTCCTGTTGGTAGCCGCCCTTCTAGCTCTGCCGGCCGGCCCAGTAGCCCTTTAAGTCCAACAAGACATAGCAGACTTCAAGAAAAAGATGCATTGCAAAACCTCAATGACCGCTTGGCCGCTTATATTGATAAAGTACGTCAGCTCGAAAGTGAAAACTCAGGTTTGCGTCGTGAAATTCAGACTACACAGGAGGTCGTCAGCCGCGAAGTTTCCAATATCAAGGGAATGTACGAGCATGAATTGCAAGACGCTAGAAAACTGTTAGACGATACATCTCGTGAGAAGGCCAAGTTGGAAATTGATTTGAAGAGGCTTTACGAAGAAAACGATGATTTGAAGAAGCGGTAAGTTTGTTATCATTACTATATCAAATTACCGCATTGTAATGCAGGTTATGTCAAAGTTTCTATTATAAATCACGTCATTGCTTATTAAAAGCATTCTAACTCTTCTTCCGGCTAACCTTAGCATTAACTTTACGTCATCATCGAGGTTTTAGAGCGGGCGCGGTATGACGGCGCGTGGCCTCGGTTTTACGACATCGTGACATCATAGCTCAATATAACTATATCAGTCACATACCTAAGTAGCCACATGTATATCTATAAGTAGACCAATCACATAGGGTGCACTATCACATTGTGACTTATTATTTGTAGTATAAATAATAGTAATAATATCAGTTTCATTCATAATATAGTACAAAGTAATAATAAATAATAAGCATCCAACTGTCTGTCTCTGACTCTATAAGCTGAATGTTTATATAGACATGTATATCCAATAATTATCCTATTGTTGTAGTTATTATTAAATACTACACATCATAAAACTGGGCATTTTTGATGTTTCATTATTATTAGCAATGTTTGATACTTGTTCATAGAATTGTGATAAATTTAGTCAATGGACATATTATTTTTCTTCAATTATTACATGACCCACACTTTGTATGATGCCGAAATATCTATTTGTGTCAAGGTGAATAAATCTTGACATTAAAATACTATTTAAGAATAATTATACAAGAAAAATTCATAAATACACAAAGTATTAAGCATATACTGACTTATCTTCAGCAATAAAATTGTATTTCATTTTATATAAAACAAATTAATTTAGAACTGTTTTAAAGCAACATATAGTTTTGAGATGATAATACCACAACATCATTTGACATAATTATAAGAAAGTAGATATTAATTGCCAGTAATTTAAAAAATAGAAAGGAAATGTTCCTAATGAATAGAAAATATATTATTGAAATTAGTCTGAGGCTTAAAAAATGCTATTATGTCGGTCCTCTGTTAGATGAATGTATAGACTACCCTACTATGGAATATACTTATAAATCAGTTGCCTCTGTGTCCTAGCAGTTTAGCACTTCACCTTAGCTGCTATGGTTGCAGATTTGATTACTCGCAGGATGCAAACATTTGTATTCATGAGTATGATTGTTTGTATCGGTCAGGGTGCTTTCCCTGTATATTGTGTACATTTAAAAATAAGTTTTTTATTAACTTTTTTGGCATTCATAGCACAAGTTTAGCTTAGCTTGGGACTAGATGATGCAATTTTTTTAAAGGATGATAACAAAGTAGTTCTTCTGTAACGTTTAACGTATGGTAATAGCTGGGGGTGGAAGGTCATAAGATGAGTATGAGTTGAGGTCAATAAGCCCATTGTGAAAATGCACTAGGAATGTATAAGGATGATTTCCAGGGGAAGATCAACTCAAGATGACATGGTATATGGCACATTACTAACAATCCCTTCCCTCTCTTACAATGATACTTAAGAATTCTGTTATGTTATTGTTAATATAATATAATTTAATTTAATTAATTTACAGTCATTGTCTTACAGAATATATTATTATGCAAACCTTGACTTATTCGTTTTGACTGCTTACTAATTAGGAGCATGAATATTATCTTGAAAACATCATTTCCGGTGCCTTGAAGTTGCTGGTGCAAGTGCATTTTTATTTATTGTTAAGATAATGCAAGGTTAAATGATATCAAACATTAGTCTATCTTGTTTGTGACTTTCTTATCTATTGCTATATTATTATAAAATTTGTACAAAGTCACCAAATTGAAATTTGTATGAATTTAATATAAAATAACCTAAAATAAGTAAAATGCACTGATGCCAGAACAATTGGTTTTGGATATTTAGAATACCTTTATATTTATATATTATATATTATAAAGAAAACTCACAGTACTTAATTAAAAAAATCTGGCCCTCTTGATTCAGTTTACCACATTCCTTTTACAAGAGTATACACATTCAATCTTTTGCTATTGTTTTATACTCTGTCTTACTACATCCTTCAGGAAAAACACCTGCACACACTTTTTTTTCACTTTATATTTCTATGTTCCTTCTATGCTTTTCATGCAAAGGTTTTTGCAACAACAACAGAGAATCATAACATAGTATAAAATAAAGGCGCTGTCGCTGACTGTTCCTATATATGCTTAAATCTTTAAAATTACGCAACGGATTTTGAAGCGGTGTTTTTAATAGATAGATAGAGTATAATATTCAAGAGGTAGGTTTATATATATAATACATGTACACCCATGCGAAGCCGGGGCAAGTAGCTAGTTCATTTATATTTAAGGTCGGTATATAATTTATAGTCGGTTTCACCCGACTTAAATTTCAATAAAAATATAGCCTATGTGTTATTCTGATGCATAAGCTATATTACTGTTAAGTTTTATCAAAATCCGTTCAGTAGTTTTTGCGTGAAAGTAACAAACATCCATACTTACAAACTTTCGCGTTTAACATATTATTAAGATTGTTGATTTGATCTGAAAAGTAAATGAATTCATTTGCAAAAAAATTATGAACTTCTAGAAATAAACTACTATATATAATCTTCCAACTTCTGTGTAAGTCATTATCGTACAGGAAAAAACTTAGTTGTTGCAGCCTTTCAATGACTGAACATTCGTAATGACGATCTCAATGACGTAATGCTAAACTCGGTACAGGTATTCGCCGGTAGCCTGGATATGCGACAGTGACGGTATTTCGGTACCAAAATAATGATGGCGTCATCGGTATTGAGACATTTGGTTATTCAACTTAATCTATATAATATATGTAAACATATATAGATTCATATTGATAATCCTCAGTAACCCGTCGGCCGCCCTCGCCGCATGCCTCCCACGTCGCGTATATTTTATTTATTTATAAATTAGCGACATTTTTGCACATGTGTGCAACAATTCAACGTAGGTACCAAGAGAAAATCCATTTCTAATAACACTCTATTTAAATTCAATTACGTCTTCAACGACTATGACATAGGTATACCTTTTTTTGCTTCTCATTATTTTTAATTATTAGATATATGTACTATTATTTAACTCTTTGCAAAGAATTTTGTCATGTTGGTTTCGTATCAATTATTTCTTCTATAAATAGATTTGTTTGGGAACAAAATATACTTGCTATTTATGTTAAGGCTTCTCTCAGTAATCATTAGGGAATAATTCGGTCATTTATTTTATATTTATTATCATTTAAAACATTCAATATTTACTGCTCAAAATAAATCCTTCGTTCTCAGCTACGTCCCTTTATCCCGCCCATCTATTATAGACGTGCAAAGAAAATAATAATTGTGAAAAATATAACACAACTACACTTAAGATTATCAGTACTAAGCTTGTTTTAAGTCGCAGCACAGTCTTAACAATTATCAATAACCCTAATCTGTATTCTGCATACTGTATATATCTACATATAGAGTATGTGACTATCTGTAATCCATCAATGTAATTATTGTATAAATGAATAAAAAAAATAAGATATTTATAGACATCCGTGTCAAAAACATAAAAGATACTCTTTTATTTACCTACTTACTTTTGTCTGCGTACGCTTCGAAATTAGAATATCTAGTTTTTAACGGTCCGCTCAAACTTGTTTAAAAAAGTATTGATCTATGATTAAAATATCCGAATTAGTGACTCGACACGTAAAAGTAGAGTTTGAGAGAATGTTTCTAAACTGAAAATGAGAGTTCTATCTATATAGTAGACATTAGTTATCTACATAAAATGACCTTTACAAAGTAAGTATATATACCTAAAGGTAGGTAGGTAGCTAGAGGTCATTTTGTACTAGTTCAGTACAGAACGTTGACATCACTTCTAAATAAAATTCTCAAATGTTTAATATTTACGTAACCGATTGTTTACATTGACTACGCGGTACGTTGCTCAATCAATAGTTTAGCGTTATCTCTGTTATTTTCATGTTGCGGTTCCGTACCGGTTAGGTATCGCAGTTCTAAATGTGGGACACGGACAACCAACGTGCCCCTTTCTTATAATGTCTTCGATCACGCGTTTGTTTAGTACGAAATTACAAATATCGGCCAAGGTCTAAGTCTCGAGCGCACGCGACGTCAATAAATAGGTTAATCTTTGGTATCTGTCGGCGGGAATGTAGCTGTATTTTCATAAGGTTTGACGGCTGTATGTATTAGGTTCAATTTTCAAATACGTTCACACGCCTTTAGCCTTTCCGAATACAATGTAACACGGCCTTTATATTTTTAACGGAAGAAAATAAAATACACTGCACAAAATACAGTGTCTGTAATGTCTGCAAACAATTAGAAACTCTCCGATACACGTGTGTAATATACAGAAGAGATTAATATTTTATTAATAAACATATTTTTCTGACTTGTAAATCAATAAATAAATGTCAGACTTATCTTAAAAATATTCAAAATAAGTATTAACATTGAAATGCTTTACAAAAAGTAAAAATATTTATATTGAAATTATATGTTACTATAAAGAAACGGGATAGTCCTGTATTCACTATAAAATCCCACCCACGTGCAAATAGTGCTGCAGGAGAAAGTTTTCAATAAATGTTAGTACTGGTTGTTAGTGATGAGTTCTAAGAAACCGGATATTGGAATTAAAACATATATTGCCACGACACGGCGCAGGGCCGCATGCCTGCATAGCGACAAACAAGGCTTCACCGTTTCTGTACGCTCACCTTGCTTCGATGTCACGGTTTCCAGTATTCAATAACCTCAACCGTTTGTTTTTGGAATGTCGCTTAGCAGCGTGAATAATAATGTATACCTTATTTAGTATTGAAGCTAAAGCTTAATGTTGTAAATTGAATCATCTACCTACAGATTAAATCATATCTAATAAAGCATATTTAGACTAGTTGTTCGCCGCGGTTTAATCTGCAGTAAACTAAAAAAAATGGCAGCTGCTGTCGTTTGTCCACCCACTACATGTCGTCATGTTGCCCGCTCGAGCTATTACTTCATTTGTGCTTCACAGTTCTTCTGAAAATTTTCATTAAACTCTACTCCTAAAGGTTATAGCGTGATGTTATATTAAATAGCATTACATCACAAGCATTGGGTTATAATTATATATTAGCTCTTAAAACAAACAAACCCTTTAGATTTTCTATACATATTAGTATGAATTTACACCTTACATAGTAATATCCAAAATAGAACTATTTATTTTTTTCAACAGAAACAACTGAATCAATTTTACAGGAAAACTGAAAAAGATTGTACCTAACCGTTATCGTTATCATGTAGTCAAACAAGTCCATTTGACATCGCGACCATAAAAGATATTTTAAAAAGTATTTGATTTCACAACAATTCTCACACACACACATACATATATAATATTGTAAATATTATATATGCATGTGTGCCCAGTGTTCATGGATGAGTTTTTAATTATTTTCGAATAGTCACGTTACTTTACTTACATATATGTTGCAACTAAGGTATTACTTTCCCATTTAAGATGCATAAACTGTCTAACGATACAATCAATTAGAATAGATTCAGTGAGCGATCACGGTCATCACGTCGTCGCCACGATGCTGAAACCGGACATACACCATTTCACAAAGCTGAAGTCATCAACATTTATAACATTAGCTATTTAATTTGAGTATTTTAGAAGTTATGCGAGGAATTTAATATGTTATCTAAAAATATATTCTTTATCGCTTACTTTTTATAGTTTCAATGGAACAGAATTAGAAATCAATTCACTCAATTCAACTTTAGAATTGTTTTGGTTTCCAGACTCCCAAAATTAGTTTTTGTCGTATATCTTCCATTTTAATCATAATATAATACATGTTATGACATATTTATGGACTTTTTAAATCTTCTAACTTTATTAAACTATTTTTACTATAATATTAACTAATACATATAAACCTTCCTCTTGAATCACTCTATCTATTGCTAAAAACTGCATTAAAATCCGTTGCATAGTTTAAAAATCTAAGGGATCCGACAGCAGAAGCGACTTCATTTTATACTATGTAAAGCATCTTTTAATAATAATACAATACATAAACGTTGAAGTGTAGTTTATTTTTTTATAATTACTATATCTGTATATTTAGTAATTATAGAAATATATTCATTAGTAACCATTGTAAAATACTTTCAGATTGGACAAGAAGACTAAAGACTTTCAGCAGGCCGAAAACTTGGCGCGTCACTACGAAACACGCTTCACTGAGGAGAGCAACAAATATAACACCGCCCTCGCAGACAAAAAGAAGGCTCAGGATGAAGCTCGTGTAAGTGAATATTTAAATAAACATTTTCACCTCCCCAACCATAGGACTTTAAATCACCAACTATGGGTTAGTTAGTGATTTAAAGTTTTTTTTTTCTATTGAAATGTTTTGGAACTTTGGTTTTAATTAGATTCATAGAAATGAACACAGATAAATTATATTTATAAATTGTCTTTATAGTTTACGTTCTAGAAATATGTTACGTTTGTATTACATTTACCTGAATCATTCTGTGAAATCAATATTTAAAGCAAGTTATATATAAACTCTTAGAACCTTACAGTATTATACTAATTTAGACAGGAGTTCGCACGGCTGTATTCGAGATAAGGAGCTATTTGTATTGCTTAACTCATTAAGGTGTAATAAATAAACAAATTCCACTTCTAATTTATAATAATAATTTGTATTAGTTTATTACTTAGTATTATTAATTTACACATTAAAATATTAATCACTGTTCTTAGGATCTGGCTAAGGAGCTGGAGAAATTGCGCAAGGTGTACGCCGACACGCGTAAAACTCTCGAAGAGGAAATGTTGTGCCGCATCGACATGGAGAACACCGTTCAGAGCTTGCGCGAGGAACTCTCCTTCAAGGACCAGGTGTTCCAGCAGGAACTGCAGGAGACTCGCACCAGGCGACAAGTCGAGATCACCGAAATTGGTACGTTATAATGATGTATATAACAACGTATCGTCACGGTCGTATTTCTAGATGGGATAATCAGAAGCATTATTAAGTGTCGATGATTTGGTGAACGCAACATTTAACATACCCACATATAGGTCGGTGTATTTTTAATACAATGTGGCAGGAGGCGAGCCTATAGTCTCTCAGATTATTTTTTGTTTGATGTTGGTGTTTGCACCAAGAGAGAGTCAGAAATATAAATTGACACACATTTTTTTTGGGATTAGTCAAATTTGTACTCACGATCATAGGCGTAATTCCGTGTAGTAAACCACTCTCCACGCAATAAACCACTAAGTTTTACTACTCGGCGATAAACATACAAAGGTTGTGAGTGTCAATAAGATCGACATCATAAGTGATGTGTCAGTTTGTATTTGTGCTCACTTTTCAAACAAACCTAAATACAATTTCAAACAAAATTATCGAAGAGACGGTGTTAAGATCATTCACTGCCATGTTCAACCCAAATTTATCCAGTGATACATAGAACTGTGTAGTATACATCAACGCTAAATATAGAAAATGTCCCTGATTATCTTATATAGGATATGAAAATTTATAGGTATTACTATTATAGCTTATGAAACCTATGACAACTGCATGTCGTGCAGTTTAATACGTAAATTAACAATTGTGTGTGCTTTTAGATGGCCGTTTGGCACAACAGTATGAGGCGAAACTACAGCAGAGCCTCCAGGAGTTGCGTGAGCAGCAAGAGGTCAACATCAAGGCTAACCGAGATGAAATCGAAGCTCTCTATGAGAATAAGGTTTGTTATGGAGTCATATCGATTGAACATTATGTAAATGTCATAGCCCATTGTGACCATGACAAATTATTAGAATTTACATAACTTTTATGTATATTATATTCTTTAATGTTAGAGTTTAGACGGAAGTTGGCGACCGATAACCTTTCAGAAATTGCAATCTATGTCCTCCGGTCATCTAAAACAAATTGATCTGGCTGGATTAGTAAATCCAACATTCCAATTTATCACAAATGTGCCAAAATCTATGTGTACTTATGTTGCAGTTGAAGAACTTGCAAGGCGCGGCAAGCCGCAACAGTCAAGCGGCGACAGTGGCCGTCGAAGAGCTGCGCACCGTGCGTACGCGTATCGACTCCCTCAATACGCAGCTTAATGATTTGGAGAACAAGAACGCTGCACTCAGCGTGAGTATCATATAGACACTTTCTATTTATAATGCATTAAATATAACATTTAAAATATACATATAAATTTATAGTGTTATTGTCTCTAATATACACATTGGAGACTATAAATGTATCAATGTTACATATTATTTTTGTATATGGAGTTGTACCTACATCTTTCTACTTTACTATAAATAATAACTATACTGTTTGACATTGTTTGCCGTGGAGGAAAAATATGGCATTATAGGTACATAAAGGTGATACTATTGATATTCAATTAACAAAAATAATTTGTTTACACATCAATCAAAGTAGACTTAAGTAGAACACGCAATAACAATAGTAGGTAAAATACCTATCGAATCCTAATTCGTGAATAGTTTGCGAACGACTACTTCATTACTTAATTGATGTACATATATAATTTTGTCTAATTCCGCTACCATCACTGTGTGAAACCACAGTTATTCAGTGCGAAAATATGACCACACTTGCTGGAAACGTCATGACGTTTCTATTGGTGATCAAATTCCAACCGTTATTGAGTCTACACCCATATTGCGACATGTGTATCGCCTCTAAACGAGGCATCATCAGGCAATGAATAGAGTTTGAATATAGAGTTGTACTACTTGAGACCAAGAAATCAAACATTTTTTATTTTGGGCTAATCTGATGCCGCAGCTCAACTTTGTAGCTTCATCGGACGATAGCGAGAGATTGCAGATGCACTCCGAACCCGCGGAAAGACTTATGGAGCGGGCGAAGACCAACTCCCTGCTGATGGATACGGCTTTAGGCTGAGGCCACCACTAGGGATTTACACCAAACTCCGACTTCTCGCAGTCTACACGCCGATGTTTAATTAAATTGTATGATGAGTGAAGATTTGGTCTCCATGACTTAGAAAGTGAATGTCCACAGAACCGTTGCCGTGAACTGGAGCGTCAGCTGGAGGCGGAGCGCGCGCGCCACGCGGAGGACCTGGCGTCCCTGGAGCAGGAGCTGGCGCGGCTGCGCGACGAGATGGCCGCCCAGCTGCGCGAGTACACCACGCTCATGGACATCAAGATCACGCTCGACCACGAGATCGCCACCTACCGCGCGCTCCTCGAGGGCGAAGAGGACAGGTAAACATTATTTCATATTCAATTTAATTATTCCTCTATAATTGATCCGTGTATATTAATACTGCTACTTAAAATCAAAGGTAGTTAACCGGCTTGGCTAGTTAGCCATATAGCTAAAGTGACATGTCACAGTGACTAACACTTATAATTTTTAACAATGTTAATCAATGACTATAAAATTTTCCATACTTCAATGGTCGAAATTAGATCATAATTAATTTAAATTATTAGTTTGAACATTATTAAGAATCTATTGTCAAAGATGTAACTTCTATATGTGTATGTGTATCTAATGACATTCTTTATAAAACAAAATTTTAAGTTTTTAGCATTCTGTACTCTATTTAAACTATAAATGTACGAAATTTCATACTCTACAATCCGAGTCATTTTTATAAAAAGGGGTACAACGTTTTTACTTCACGTTTTGTTAAACCTAGATGTTCAAACAATCACAACAAATTGTATGACCGTCCAGGTTGTTCAAAGATTAAAAAATTACCTGGACTAAGTAGTATAAAACTACATAACTTAACTTAATAAAGTCGAAAAGTTTACATCCAAGAATAATACGGGTTCTACCTGCAAATGGACATTCGGAAGTTCGTTTAGAGATGTTCGTTTATATCGAGTCTATAGGTATGTGCAGGCTGAAACTGATATCCCCGGGGCGCGAGTCCCGGACATCTAAGAGACATTCGAAAGTAAGTCGATATATGTCGGTCTATATGGAGTCGGTATGCGCAGGCTGAACCTGACGTCGCAGTCTCCGGGGCGCGAGTCGCGCGCGTCGGGCGCGGCGTCCAGCGGCATCGGCAGCTCGGGCCGCCTCACCCCGGGCCGCCGCGCCACGCCGCTGCGGGCCGCGCGCAAGCGCACGCTGCTCGACGAGACCGAGGAGCGCAGCCTCAGCGACTACAGCGTCACCGCCAGCGCCAAGGGGGACCTCGAGGTCGCCGAGGCCTGCCCCGACGGGACCTTCGTCAAGATACGCAACAAGGGCAAGAAGGTACCATTATTGTTATCTTATTTATTGTTCATATCATAAACGCGAAAGTCGGTGAGTATGGATGGATGTTTGTTACTCTCTCCCGCAAATACACTCCACGGATTTTGATGTAACTTTACAGTAATTATAATTATATATAATAACTTTATTGTGCCAAAAAAACAAATACAAAAGGGACTTAACTAAGGTTATATATGTATATTAATTCATATATAAGTGTTGTTTATATTTAATAATATACTATAATAAGTAATATAGTTTATACATCAGAATGAGACGTGGACTATAAATTTCATGCCGGGGAAAAATAAATATACGATTATTTACTGCCTGCTGACACCTCTGTATCTTATCAAGCCAACATCTAGAAAAGTACTGTTTATCAGTACTAATTTCTAAGTATTCAATATTATAAGTGTAAATATGTTAAACATTTTTAATCTATTTATAAAACCAATCCTTATTAATATAAATAAAAAATATGTATTTCTTAGTATCTGTAAAAGTACATTTTTACCTTATTACTTTTTATTATAACTGTGTAAGTATAAATTAAATTAAATTAAACCTAAATTTTTACCCTCAGGAGCTGAGCCTTGGCGGTTACCAGATCATCCGTAAGGCCGGCGACCAGGAGACGGTGTTCAAATTCCACCGCACCGTGAAGTTGGAGCCTGGCACGGTGGCCACCGTGTGGTCTGCTGACGCCGGTGCCGACCACGACCCTCCGCATCACATCGTCATGAAGGGACAGAAGTGGTTTGTGGCCGATAACTTCACCACAGCACTCCTCAACAATGACCAGGAGGTAAACATGTTTATTTTTTATATTTGTAAATTGTCATGTAAGAAAATATAGAGATTTGTTTGAAGGATCAGGAAGGTCAGTAACAAAATAGTACAATGACACAACTACAAATATAAACATATTTTTGATTAACCAGTTACATAATATAATAATATCAGAGTGGCATAAAAAATAAACATTTCTTTTTTATGTATACATACATGATCCTCATTTAAACATGATGTAATTGATTTAATTATTAATGACGAGACTTTTTGAAATTTACAGGAGGTAGCCATTTCTGAGAGACAGCGGCGGCAAGTGAGCACCAGCGCCCAAAGACACCGTGAACTCGCGCACAAATTCCCCCGTCGTGATCAGGTACTCGATTGGAGTAGAATGAACTTCTAATTGTAATACACATAAGAATACAATGAGTTCTATTATTTTAATATATTCTGTTATTAAATTATAATAATATATTATAATTGTTTGTTCTAGATTACAATACTAAAACCTTATTCAATAAGGAGGATTATTAACATAATTGTTATTATTATATGATTAAGGTTTATTTCTATAATAATACGTACTAGGTATAATTTGTTATAATACTATTTAAAATTAAAAAATAGTAATAATCTTAATTTCATACTTTTTTTTTATATTAATGGCCATAATTTCTTTCATAGTCTTCTAGTTTTCTTCTGTCTGACAATATCAATCATTTGTTACATCTTACCTGAACTTTATTTTTTAGCCGTATGTTGTATTTATACTTTATAGTTATAATACAAAAATGCTTAGTAATAAATATACTTATTAAGCGCTATTTTTTTTATTTATTAATTTAAATACCGCAAGTTATTATTTTATATATCTGTTCTGATGCGTTTCAACAGAAATCGAAATGTTAGAAGTTATTCTTTTTTAATTAGTTAATTAATCAAATGTTAGAATAGATAAATATATACGTGATTTTCTACTATTATTCTTATTGTTTTATTTACCAGAAAATATTAATATAAGTAAATAAAAGTTATTTATCTGTGTGATAATTTGATATGTTATTATAATTATACTGTATTTCCAGTTGGGCGAAATCCGGGAGGGTGAAGAGAACTGCCGCATCATGTAACGTGCAGCGGACAGCCGCTCGCCACTCGGTGCCTCACGCTTCACTCGTCCGGAGCTACACATTCTGCCCTGTGGGCATCCTCCCTTACTACTTTCCGCAGCGTTTCTTTAACGAGATGCTAGATTATGGTGTATTTTACGTTAGTCACTGACACTTCGGTACTTCAATGTTCGTTTATTTTTACTATATGGTTAATACATTTTATTTCTGCAAATGTATTCCAATGTACTTCAGAATTTAATTTGTTGCATATGAATTTCTTTTATTAGTGGGCAGTACGCTAGTTTTAGATAATACATGAGCCTAAAGCTCAGGAAATTGTAGCAAAATTTTTGTTAATTCTGCATCAGTTACTTTATCATATATATTGTTTTCAAGACATAAATTAAATTGTGGTAATAAGACAGTATCAAGCTTAATGGATTATATCAAGTTAAAGAAATTGCGAAGGAGTTTTCACTGCCATACAAGGCTTTTCCTATTCATTTGTCAGTTGGTGAACAAAGTACAAATGTCGTTCACTTGTGTGGGTAAATATAGAATTATGTAAGAGTTTAAAGCACTCACCCACCCTGCAACATATGTTAGTTGATAAGTAATTTTATATTCGTAATTAATACAAGTATCCATCTGATAACAAAGCAAATGGAGTAGATTAAATCTACTAATATTCATATTTCTTAATGACCTTGATTGATCTAAAGTTATTGTATTAGGTTAAGTACTAGATGACACTTTTGCTGATGTCAAGTTAGAATAAGCGGTGGTTTTCACGTAACTGAATACTTTATATAAAGCAAAATAGGTGCAAGTCTCAAAAGTCTCAGATTGAATAAAAAGGAAGAGATAATTAAGAATTTGATCGACTGTTGTATAATTATTTTAAAAAATAAATGTACCGTCAATGTATTTGTAAGCACACTAATATACATTAATTTAGTGATAGATTGTGTATTGTGTTCCGCAAGAAATAGATGTCATTATTTTTTTTTAAATCATTGAGAGGATAGAATCTGATTTGTCAAAGATTTTTGTTTAATAAGTAATCATGAGACATTTTAATTTGGACCCAGTTTGTAACTTCCATATTATAGAGAAAATACATATTACAAATAAATTTATATTTAGGTTTAATAATAAAATTTGCAGTTTTATTTTCTTATATCCCTGATAAAATGCCTTGATAATTTCCATTATAAGTACATAAATAAAAAAAATTAACCCACCAAGTTGCAATATTTTTAAATAACTATAATTATATTATTTCAGCCCCCCTGGACACCAAAACATAAACAACTAACCTAACTTTATTCTTATGTCGTTCACTGGTCCCACACCACATACCTACCTTATAACAAACAGTTAACCTCGCACTTAATGCACAATAATGGGAATACTATATCGAATCCTAATTCGTGAATAGTTTGCGAACGACTACTTCATTACTTAATTGATGTACATATATAATTTTGTCTAATTCCGCTACCATCACTGTGTGAAACCACAGTTATTCAGTGCGAAAATATGACCACACTTGCTGGAAACGTCATGACGTTTCTATTGGTGATCAAATTCCAACCGTTATTGAGTCTACACCCATATTGCGACATGTGTATCGCCTCTAAACGAGGCATCATCAGGCAATGAATAGAGTTTGAATATAGAGTTGTACTACTTGAGACCAAGAAATCAAACATTTTTTATTTTGGGCTAATCTGATGCCGCAGCTCAACTTTGTAGCTTCATCGGACGATAGCGAGAGATTGCAGATGCACTCCGAACCCGCGGAAAGACTTATGGAGCGGGCGAAGACCAACTCCCTGCTGATGGATACGGCTTTAGGCTGAGGCCACCACTAGGGATTTACACCAAACTCCGACTTCTCGCAGTCTACACGGCGATGTTTAATTAAATTGTATGATGAGTGAAGATTTGGTCTCCATGACTTAGAAAGTGAATGTCCACAGAACCGTTGCCGTGAACTGGAGCGTCAGCTGGAGGCGGAGCGCGCGCGCCACGCGGAGGACCTGGCGTCCCTGGAGCAGGAGCTGGCGCGGCTGCGCGACGAGATGGCCGCCCAGCTGCGCGAGTACACCACGCTCATGGACATCAAGATCACGCTCGACCACGAGATCGCCACCTACCGCGCGCTCCTCGAGGGCGAAGAGGACAGGTAAACATTATTTCATATTCAATTTAATTATTCCTCTATAATTGATCCGTGTATATTAATACTGCTACTTAAAATCAAAGGTAGTTAACCGGCTTGGCTAGTTAGCCATATAGCTAAAGTGACATGTCACAGTGACTAACACTTATAATTTTTAACAATGTTAATCAATGACTATAAAATTTTCCATACTTCAATGGTCGAAATTAGATCATAATTAATTTAAATTATTAGTTTGAACATTATTAAGAATCTATTGTCAAAGATGTAACTTCTATATGTGTATGTGTATCTAATGACATTCTTTATAAATCAAAATTTTAAGTTTTTAGCATTCTGTACTCTATGTAAACTATAAATGTACGAAATTTCATACTCTACCATCCGAGTCATTTTTATAAAAAGGGGTACAACGTTTTTACTTCACGTTTTGTTAAACCTAGATGTTCAAACAATCACAACAAATTGTATGACCGTCCAGGTTGTTCAAAGATTAAAAAATTACCTGGACTAAGTAGTATAAAACTACATAACTTAACTTAATAAAGTCGAAAAGTTTACATCCAAGAATAATACGGGTTCTACCTGCAAATGGACATTCGGAAGTTCGTTTAGAGATGTTCGTTTATATCGAGTCTATAGGTATGTGCAGGCTGAAACTGATATCCCCGGGGCGCGAGTCCGGGACATCTAAGAGACATTCGAAAGTTAGTCGATATATGTCGGTCTATATGGAGTCGGTATGCGCAGGCTGAACCTGACGTCGCAGTCTCCGGGGCGCGAGTCGCGCGCGTCGGGCGCGGCGTCCAGCGGCATCGGCAGCTCGGGCCGCCTCACCCCGGGCCGCCGCGCCACGCCGCTGCGGGCCGCGCGCAAGCGCACGCTGCTCGACGAGACCGAGGAGCGCAGCCTCAGCGACTACAGCGTCACCGCCAGCGCCACGGGGACCTCGAGGTCGCCGAGGCCTGCCCCGACGGGACCTTCGTCAAGATACGCAACAAGGGCAAGAAGGTACCATTATTGTTATCTTATTTATTGTTCATATCATAAACGCGAAAGTCGGTGAGTATGGATGGATGTTTGTTACTCTCTCCCGCAAATACACTCCACGGATTTTGATGTAACTTTACAGTAATTATAATTATATATAATAACTTTATTGTGCCAAAAAAACAAATACAAAAGGGACTTAACTAAGGTTATATATGTATATTAATTCATATATAAGTGTTGTTTATATTTAATAATATACTATAATAAGTAATATAGTTTATACATCAGAATGAGACGTGGACTATAAATTTCATGCCGGGGAAAAATAAATATACGATTATTTACTGCCTGCTGACACCTCTGTATCTTATCAAGCCAACATCTAGAAAAGTACTGTTTATCAGTACTAATTTCTAAGTATTCAATATTATAAGTGTAAATATGTTAAACATTTTTAATCTATTTATAAAACCAATCCTTATTAATATAAATAAAAAATATGTATTTCTTAGTATCTGTAAAAGTACATTTTTACCTTATTACTTTTTATTATAACTGTGTAAGTATAAATTAAATTAAATTAAACCTAAATTTTTACCCTCAGGAGCTGAGCCTTGGCGGTTACCAGATCATCCGTAAGGCCGGCGACCAGGAGACGGTGTTCAAATTCCACCGCACCGTGAAGTTGGAGCCTGGCACGGTGGCCACCGTGTGGTCTGCTGACGCCGGTGCCGACCACGACCCTCCGCATCACATCGTCATGAAGGGACAGAAGTGGTTTGTGGCCGATAACTTCACCACAGCACTCCTCAACAATGACCAGGAGGTAAACATGTTTATTTTTTATATTTGTAAATTGTCATGTAAGAAAATATAGAGATTTGTTTGAAGGATCAGGAAGGTCAGTAACAAAATAGTACAATGACACAACTACAAATATAAACATATTTTTGATTAACCAGTTACATAATATAATAATATCAGAGTGGCATAAAAAATAAACATTTCTTTTTTATGTATACATACATGATCCTCATTTAAACATGATGTAATTGATTTAATTATTAATGACGAGACTTTTTGAAATTTACAGGAGGTAGCCATTTCTGAGAGACAGCGGCGGCAAGTGAGCACCAGCGCCCAAAGACACCGTGAACTCGCGCACAAATTCCCCCGTCGTGATCAGGTACTCGATTGGAGTAGAATGAACTTCTAATTGTAATACACATAAGAATACAATGAGTTCTATTATTTTAATATATTCTGTTATTAAATTATAATAATATATTATAATTGTTTGTTCTAGATTACAATACTAAAACCTTATTCAGTAAGGAGGATTATTAACATAATTGTTATTATTATATGATTAAGGTTTATTTCTATAATAATACGAACTAGGTATAATTTGTTATAATACTATTTAAAATTAAAAAATTATAATAATCTTAATTTCATATTATTTTTTTTTATATTAATGGCCATAAATTCTTTCATAGTCTTCTAGTTTTCTTCTGTCTGACAATATAAATAATTTGTTACATCTTACCTGAATTTTATTTTTTAGCCGTATGTTGTATTTATACTTTATAGTTATAATACAAAAATGCTTAGTAATAAATATACTTATTAAGCGCTATTTTTTTTATTTATTAATTTAAATACCGCAAGTTATTATTTTATATATCTGTTCTGATGCGTTTCAACAGAAATCGAAATGTTAGAAGTTATTCTTTTTTAATTAGTTAATTAATCAAATGTTAGAATAGATAAATATATACGTGATTTTCTACTATTATTCTTATTGTTTTATTTACCAGAAAATATTAATATAACTAAATAAAAGTTATTTATCTGTGTGATAATTTGATATGTTATTATAATTATAATGTATTTCCAGTTGGGCGAAATCCGGGAGGGTGAAGAGAACTGCCGCATCATGTAACGTGCAGCGGACAGCCGCTCGCCACTCGGTGCCTCACGCTTCACTCGTCCGGAGCTACACATTCTGCCCTGTGGGCATCCTCCCTCACTATTTTCCGCAGCGTTTCTTTAACGAGATGCTAGATTATGGTGTATTTTACGTTAGTCACTGACACTTCGGTACTTCAATGTTCGTTTATTTTTACTATATGGTTAATACATTTTATTTCTGCAAATGTATTCCAATGTACTTCAGAATTTAATTTGTTGCATATGAATTTCTTTTATTAGTGGGCAGTACGCTAGTTTTAGATAATACATGAGCCTAAAGCTCAGGAAATTGTAGCAAAATTTTTGTTAATTCTGCATCAGTTACTTTATCATATATATTGTTTTCAAGACATAAATTAAATTGTGGTAATAAGACAGTATCAAGCTTAATGGATTATATCAAGTTAAAGAAATTGCGAAGGAGTTTTCACTGCCATACAAGGCTTTTCCTATTCATTTGTCAGTTGGTGAACAAAGTACAAATGTCGTTCACTTGTGTGGGTAAATATAGAATTATGTAAGAGTTTAAAGCACTCACCCACCCTGCAACATATGTTAGTTGATAAGTAATTTTATATTCGTAATTAATACAAGTATCCATCTGATAACAAAGCAAATGGAGTAGATTAAATCTACTAATATTCATATTTCTTAATGACCTTGATTGATCTAAAGTTATTGTATTAGGTTAAGTACTAGATGACACTTTTGCTGATGTCAAGTTAGAATAAGCGGTGGTTTTCACGTAACTGAATACTTTATATAAAGCAAAATAGGTGCAAGTCTCAAAAGTCTCAGATTGAATAAAAAGGAAGAGATAATTAAGAATTTGATCGACTGTTGTATAATTATTTTAAAAAATAAATGTACCGTCAATGTATTTGTAAGCACACTAATATACATTAATTTAGTGATAGATTGTGTATTGTGTTCCGCAAGAAATAGATGTCATTATTTTTTTTTAAATCATTGAGAGGATAGAATCTGATTTGTCAAAGATTTTTGTTTAATAAGTAATCATGAGACATTTTAATTTGGACCCAGTTTGTAACTTCCATATTATAGAGAAAATACATATTACAAATAAATTTATATTTAGGTTTAATAATAAAATTTGCAGTTTTATTTTCTTATATCCCTGATAAAATACCTTGATAATTTCCATTATAAGTACATAAATAAAAAAAATTAACCCACCAAGTTGCAATATTTTTAAATAACTATAATTATATTATTTCAGCCCCCCTGGACACCAAAACATTGTGACCATAGTCACGATTAGGTACGGCTAACTAACCTAACTATTCTTGTCGTTCACTGGTCCCACACCACATACCTACCTTATAACAAACAGTTAACCTCGCACTTAATGCACAATAATGGGAATACTATATGAGAGAAATAGAATACCGTAATAGTTTTCAGCATAATTGTTTTTTTTTTAATACTTTTTCCGATGACCATACATCGGAGCAAAGTTATTCATTTTTATGATTAAATCATTTTATCGTCAAAAACTGCTTCTAAAATTATGATTATATGCTCAGTACCCAATTGCAGCATAACATTCATTTTACAAGTAATTAATTTAGAAGCTAAGACCGAGCTACCATTCTAACTGAAAAATACAGTTAAACTGGCACCATTGAACGCTGCATGTATTTGTATTTATTTTTGCCAATGTTATTAAAAAATCTTACAAGTATTACTTAAATATATTACTTATTATTTTCATTTCATAAATAGACGGCGTACATATTATCAAATATTTCAGTCAACATACAATAATCTCGTTATCCTCTAAACTAGCAGGTTACAAGTATCGATGTTTAAAAAATATAAATATTGTATTTTATAAGGAGGTAGGAAAGCAATATGAGTATTTTTTATTTATAGATATCAAAATGGATGATAAGAAATCATTGGGACAACGGAGGCATAACCATTTTTCTTCTATTAGAGCTACGGCGGAGGGGTAATCAGTACTTAAAGAAATGAAGTACTCCGCGTACAGTTACAATAACATTTTAGGAATGATCGATTAACTAAGATATGATATTTATAAAACACTTGATTTATTGATTGCATATTTAATTAAATTAATTGCATTAGATAATGTAATTTGTTGCTTCAGTGACGATCACAAGCGTGCGGAATTCCTAGTATTATCTCTTGTCCGGTGAAGCTGGAAAGTCCAGCCAATCCAATTTCTTATGGGTCCAACGATATGTGTTGCCATTAGCCATTTTCTAGTTTTTTTAAATTTAAACCCAGCATTATCATATCTGTGCCATGTCTTTCAAAGACAGTGTTGCATGATCTCTCACTTGGTGGGTATTCTACTGATTTTAATCGAATTTCCAATTCGAACATTATTCCAACGAAGTATTACGAACAAATTAAACATAAATGTCAACAAAATATACTTGCGCGTCGGTATGGTTAGTAAAATATAAATAAATTTATGTTAGTATTACGAGAATTTATAGTTCCTAGTATAGTAGTCCTTTTATAGTTTATTAAAAAATGTGTATTATAAAAAAAATGTATCGGGTAACATTACTTAAATGTTGGGCTAAAAGGCCTCCAAGGCCTCCAAGGCCGTAAAATATAAATAAATAAAAAATATATACATTTTCTAACCAATTCCTACGGTTTTTATTTTGTTATTGATATATTTTAAGTAATTATTAATGCCGTATCATATTGATTATTATAATATTTAATGTTGACTCATTGTGCCACCATAAGTTAATAAATTTATTCAAATTCGTCTATTCGTCTCATGATTTAATCAGTCTCAAAAATGTCACAACAATAGAAGTGTATGTAACTCATTTTATAATTTGATATACCATAATATAAATCTAATATTATAAATGACAATGAGTTTAATCTGTTACGCTTTCATAAAATTTGTCGTATATTGTTTCTGGTTTCCATGCTTAGTAATAAATTGGGAATCAATAGCATATTTCTGTTAAGTTAATGGTGTGTTTTTGTTTAAAAGAGCAGGCCAGTATCTATTTCATTCTTCTTGTGCTATGTCTGCTTTGCCATTAAGTGGTAGATTAAAAATAATATTTAAAAAATATATTTTTTCAAAAGTGGTTAAATTGAAGATAAACTTCAATTTAACTACTTTTGAAAAGAAGTGTACAAAACTTATTTAGATTGTTGGCCTGACTTTTTAGTTATTTAGACAATTTTTTTAAAAATGGTTATTCACTCTCAGCAAATATAAATAAAAAATTATTATTTAATTTCATTGTATTGACAGCAGGTATTTTCGATTCATTTGTAATGAAGCATATAGGCTTGCTAATGAATAATAAACAACCCCTACTAATGTATACCTACATACTAATATGGTGTGACAGTCGGTGTAAAATATATATCCATTTAATAAAGTCTATCATATGTCAAGTTCCCAAACTAAATGAAATGGTTCTTCTTAGTTGGTTTGATCTGCAAACTCCACATGGTTCCTCCTGCAAACCACTACTATGACTTTTTAAGCATCTCTTAATTAAGATAACTTATCATATTTCAGTAGTGGACAGAAGAGTGGTGCAGAAGAGTTTTCTATTCCGTCATCCTCTAAAACCCTAGTTTGTTGATGTGTTTATTATTATTTAAGTGTAGTTATAATTGAGGACTTCACTGTTAATGTATGTTCAAATTTAAAATTAATTTTATTACATTAGTGACAGAAAAAGACCATCTATCAAATAGATCTATTGTGCTCATCCTTTTTCAGAGTTCGCTACCTAGATCTGTCAGGGAAACAAATTGAAGTATATTCTTAGCAGTGATGGTTTTTATCTCCGCAGGATAGAGTATAAACTTTCCAAAAGAGATATTATGTTTAGCATGAGTGCGCTACAACCACATAGGATGTGTAGTGGCATTTTTTTTTTAGTTTGGCAAAATCAGATTTTTGTGGTGCATAGGACTAGGTTTGCCATATATATGTTCAATTTGTCACTGCAAATGTTATGTTGTTTTCTTTGCCTATGCCATCATGCTACTTACTTGGACTGTCACTGTTTGCAGGTTGAGAGGTATCTGAAAGATTATTAGATACAAACTCAAATACTAACTTATTGGGGGAAGGGGATTGTTAGTAATGTGGACTCATGACTCCATTACTAGCAATGTACCATGTTAGGTTGACCTCCACATGGTTCCCCCTGGAAACCATCGTGATAAATTCCTGGTAAATTTGTTACGATGGGCTAACTGACCTGACCTCATGCTCATCTTATCATCCTCCACTGGTGCCCCGCCAGCGTAAACCATTAGAGCAGGCAGAAGCACCAATCCATTATCATCCCTTAAAAAAATACTAACTTTAGATATTTTCACACTGGAATATAAACATGTAGACAGAAAAGTGCTGCTATAAAGAAAGCGACAGAATTATAAATGAAAATACTAGAACAGATTTAGAACAAGCAGTTGAAATTCCTTCCATTAGAAGGCTTACTATATTAAAGGCTTACTATAGCTTTTATTTGGCTTAATAATATAATAAAATAATACTGAGTCATTTGTAGAATTATATCAAACAATTATATCAAATTAATTAAGATGATATTAATACAAAAAGGAGCTCTTGGAAAGTGAATGCTCTTGGAATTTATGATGATGGTGATGATCTGATCCAATGATCAGATCATCATCATCATCATAAAATGAAATTAAAGTCTGTGTCTGTGTATAATTTCAAATTAAAAGCTTTGAAACTAAATGCACATATATATATTATACATAGCATACTTACATAATAAAATTATTTTAAAATAAATTCCCCGACAGTATGTCTAATTGTTGTGACTAATTAATCTCTAAAATGGCTGTATCGATTTTGATGGGACATTCACTCGAAGATATCTTAGAAATTATATTTATTTTAATAAAAAAAGTTAAATTCTTCGCGGACGAAGACGCGGATAACAGCTAGTTACGTAATACAAATAAGGCGATAGATGTGTGTTGTGTCAGCTTAATATGGGACATTGATGCGACAAGAGATCAGCTTTGCCAACATCCGGGCGGGTCCAGTGCGGCTTCCGCACCTTGACCCAGGTGGGCGTAACGGCGCAATAGGTCACGAGGGTGAGGAACGGGGGGCCATGTTTGGGCGGGTGTAGTAGCGTAGTGACGTCAGTGACGCGCATTATCGACCCCGGCAGCCGTCACAACACCCTGCGCCCGCACCCGCCGTCCCTGCCCTCCCGCCGTTGAGCCGCAGCGGCCGCGCGCATCTACGCATCACGCCGCCCGGAAGTTTGCCGACGCTAATGGGAAACATTTAGAGAACCGTTTTGATGAGACCCACGACCACCCACGCTATGCTCTGTATAGGATTACTTTTTCGACACCTTGACATGCTTGTTGTTGTATCCCTTCAAATATTTCATTATAGAACCTATTTTTAGTCAACGACACTGTAGGTCTACCTATTATATCCTCGTACTCCATCATTACGTAAAAGAATCCGATCATATAAAATTTATTACTGTTTGCTCTATGTGTGGATATTGCACACAATATTGGAGGGATCGGTTTGTTTATGTGTACTCTATCTATCACTGTCCTTGCGAACCGTTGCGACGTTACAAATTGTAGAACAAAGTCAACAAATAGGCTCTAACAAGTGCGCAGTTGCCGCGAGTAGCGGGCGGGGTGGAAATGGTGGAACTTCCCTCTGGTTTTTCCGACAAAAAACCTTGACCCATATTTAAAGAGCCCTCGGATAGACTAAATAAGTAAAACGACACTTGTCTCAGTCAAGGATATGATGTTCAGAGAGACGATGATTTTTTATTGATATAATTATCTATCACAATTATAAATACAATACATATAATTTGTTTGCTGCAATCCGTTAAAATTGACATAGTGTTTAAAATTTACAGGTATAATAATTTTTCAGAGTCAATTATCTACAACGCAACAATGAGGTGAACTTTTAGCCGCAATGACCGAAATCAAAGAACAAAGTTCCGTTCAGCCAATGAAGCGTTTCAAAAAGGTTCCCATTTACGTTGTCGAGGAGCACAATGATGCGTTGCAGTTTATATATTCAGCCATCGGTGGGAAAAAGCTACCTATCGAAGGCACCGCCTTATTACATTTAGATGCTCATCCAGATATGCTCGTTGATAGAAAATTGAAAGGTGAAGAAGCACGTTCAGGGAGGAAACTTTTGCCGTTACTACAAATAGAAAATTGGATAGTGCCAGCCGTAGCTGCTGGACACATCGATCACGTGATTTGGCTTCGTCCGCCTTGGGCCAAACAATTCACGGACGGATCTCGTGTTATACAAGTTGGCGATCATCCCTATACAGGGCTGCTCCGTGTAGACAGCAAGGAACCGTATTATATATCCGACGCTTTATATTCCACAGAATTAAAGAACGCTAGAAAATTCACATTAACAGTAGCAGAGTTCTCTAATTTAAAATTAAAAAGAAATAATGAACAGGAGTTGAATAAAGTAATCGACGCTATGAATATTTGTCAACCCTATGTGCTTGATATAGATTTAGATTTTTTCAGCACAGGAAATCCATTCTTAAGCTTGTACGAGAATATAGGATTATATGATCGTCTAGAACCTATTTTTAGTTTTAAGATTCCTGAAAACGATGATGTATCTACAATAGAAAAAGTTATTGAATCACGGGAGGCTCAACTAAAAGAACTGGAAAATATATTTCAGCATTTAGAAGAACATGGCGATTTACAGAATTATTCAGGAGAGAAGTCTCATACTTTCAAAATGGTAATTGTTTTTCGGATTAGAGTAGTCTGTCGTTTGGCGCAGCTTGCCTTTATAGCTTCGGGGAGGGGGGAGTGCAGATGGCACTCGAAGGAAGGACTTATGGAGAGGCTGAAGGCCAACTCCTGCCTGATGGATACGACTTTAGTTTGATGGAACCGCTACGGGTTCGAACCTCGACTCAGGCCGTCGTAATTTCGATCCCAGTTTGAATTGGACGTGGAATCGATCGGAGGGGTGGTAAATGTTTTATCTGTTTTTTATGCACTGTACAATATTTTGTTTGCATAAACATATATTATGATCATCCTTAATTAAAACTTTTTGTTTAATCTTAACATGACACCTTATCTGCGAAATTTGTAAGTAGGAGACCATATTTTTTTTAATAAATTAAATATGGAATACTCCATTTTTTTCGCTGACGGTATCGCTAGTGCACCAGCGAATTCTCCAGTAATCATCACGATGGTTTCGGTGATGGGGGGATGGTAAATGTAAATGTAAATCGTCTTGATGTTTAACAAATTGCTAATGAACCCTTCTTCGCGTAATATATATATACTGTTTATTATCTAGGTAATGGACATAGTGACGGCCGTCTCTGTGGAAGCAGAACGTCTTAACGAGAAGCCTGATTGGTGGGCAGTATTTGCAGCAGGCTGTACCAGAGACCAGGGAGGGCTTCCCCATTACATTAACACAAAAGAAGGAATAGAGACCATGATTAAAGAGTCCTTGGCGCTACTTTTGAAGAGACTGCCCCCGCCTGTTATAATCACCATCGCCAGATCTACAGATGACGGTTACTGTCCACCGCATCAGGTAAGTGACACCATCCTAAAACCTTGGATGTACTACGAAACACTTCATATTTTAAATAATCATATTAATACCTCAAGACATTTCAGACACCGCCATCTAGTCTCAAGAAAGCTTATAGTACTAGAAGGGGTACTAGAAATTTTATAGGTATAAATAGATACATTTTTTAGATACAAATTATATTATAGATGCAAATGTTTGTACCGTAGGAATCGAACCTGCGACCATTAAAAGTAAGATGTCTCACCACTAGATTATTGTTTTTTCATTACCTGTGTTTCAGTCGAATGACAATATATATGGCAGTAAGATTATCTGGTGGTGGTAGGCATGACATTTCTTTCCTCCAGAATGGCAATGCATGTGGGGTACCACCAACATAGCAAAAATGAGATCGTTTATATAAAATAAGGATAACAATGGCCCAAGAATATATCCTTGAGATACACCCATTCGCACAATAGGCACCGAAATATGTATGATTATATACTGCCAACGGCACTAATGAAGTTAATTGCGATACGGGAGTTCGCATAACATACATATGACTGTTTTCTCTAATTACTTCAGGTACGTAGATAAGTTGAGATTCAGTTAACAAATTAAATCAAGTTACAGATCTGTTTATATTCAAGACTTTATTAAAAATGGGTTTGCTCACTTTTTTTTATAAAAAAATATTCTTCCCATAGCCATACCTACTGCGAATTTTACGAAATATTTTATAAACATTTACTAATATCATATCTATTATGTAGTAAAGTTTATGAGATTGGATGTTTTGGATAATATCCGGTACTACATAGATATAGATTTTAAAAAATATTATAATGTCAGATCCCTATGGTCTCGAGAAAGATTAAGGTATATAACATCATGCTATGGTCAATCAGCAGACCTGTAAAAATGGGGAAAATGTAACGCAGGCGAAGTTGTGTGGGTCAGCGAGATATTAATACTTATGTATTAATATTGACGTAAGTGGAATTTCTCCATGAGGAAAAGTTTCGTACAATCGCCATATTGTTGTTTTCGCGACATCATTGTAGACTATGGTGGGTACACGCTAACATATTGTTTTTTTTTGTTTCAGGTCGATTATATTCAGTTCCTAGTATTAGAAACGCTACAAGAGATATATGAAACAGACGAACCTATTTTACATTATCTAAACGCCAGTACTTAGGAAAATATTGTTGTTTAATAAATTTATTTTTTATTCTGTATTTTTTTTTCTCTTTATTCTTTACATGCATACATAAGCATTAAAAATCACTTATATATTACTTATATATTTTACTATCATATATTATATTTTAACTTCAATAGGTTCGGTTTGAAAAACGCGCACCGATTGCTGGTAGAAATAATTCAGACAGATATATCTACCTATCTATACAGATGACTTTGTATATAGTATCTGAATATTCGTTATTAATGAATGTATAAATTGAATCTGTTGGTAATTTGTTTTAAAAATTATTTTACAATTCAATTTATTTTCAATCTGTGACAAATGCAACCTCTCGCGCCTTTTCATTATCAACAATTTATTACTGTTTTCCGCCTTAAAAAATCCGAATCCGAATTAAAAATGGAATGAAGTTACAACAAACATAATTTATGATGAATCTTTTTAAATACCTATTTAAATAAAATTCTTATGAAAAAAATAATGTTAAAACAAACCATTTATTAATAATAACTACAACATAAAAGAAAGGGATAAAACAGTCGAATATCTAAAATAGTTTATACAAGAGGGAAAAGTAATCTATAATAGTACAATACAAACTATTTTGACATATATATTTGAATATAATTCTATTTTATTTTTTCTAGTTTATTCCACGAATAACTATAGTGTTTTGAACTGAAACGTTAAGCCTGTTTAACTCTTCTTTTGAGTGATATAAGTAGATAATTAATTGTCAATGTACTGATCCAAATATTCTTTCAAAATATTGCGTAGTACAATATTACGCATAAAACATAATAATCTACGTCTAATTGATACAATTTTCACGTAGTCGATGAGAGACCTATTTCTTACAAGGGCTACTTAGAGGTGTCGAGGTGGCGAATCATTTAGCAGAATGTCGCGTACGTCGGGTCAATTAGCAATAACAACTGGGCCTGACGCCCCCGCCGTGCCATCTGTATATACTATATATATAACACTAATCTAATTCTAGGGTTCCGTAGCCAATAATTACATATATTGTTTCTTCAATGACGGTGCTCATCACCGGATGTCTAGAAAATATTCTGTTCCATGTCATTGAAATGATGATGATGGATATCACGTTATCATGTTACGCCCGGGACGTTAAAATAGGTGTGACTGGTCACACCTATTTTAACAAACAAGCAGCAGGAATGAGTGCTCCAGGCAGACGACTTTTTACAGTTTACGAAGAGTAGGTGCTTCGGTTTAAAGTATATTAAAGTGTTATGGAGTTCTTTTGGTAGATGTGGCTTCTACTTACAGTATAGCTATTTTATGATATCGGTGGAAAATGACAGAATGTAAATGAGTACGGGTAGTTAATCCATCGTGGCTAATCCATGTCAACTTAAGCTCCTTGGTAACCAGAGTGCTTGGTGAAGATTACATTAAAGAGTTATATTGAAAAAAATTAATTTAAAAGATACACTTTTGACTACGATATCGGTAACAAGCTGATACTTTTGCCTTTAGATTTGGAAACCTTCACTTTTTTCAAAGGGTAAAAATATCTAAATGTTTTTTTTTAATGTTATTATTTTGATTAATCATTGAATGAGCAATTCATAAGCTCATATTTCTGTAATTATATTCAAATGCGCAGGTACATCAACCGTAAAATTGCTGTCGAGTCATACTGCAGATCAAAGAGCTATTAAGTGGTTTAGGGGTTAAGCAAAATGTTTTTGTTACTACCTGATTCAACCTTGAAAGTCAGTCTTGGTATTAGAACAATACAAGAGAGCAACCACATAACTAAGCCTAAAAATTCAGTAGGTGTGTCCGTAGTCAGTTATTTCTACTATTAGGTATGTGTGAAAATAGAATTGTGGCAATGACTTGGTAATTTAGTGCCGTCAACATTACTAAACTACCAGGAAATTTTAGATAAAATGTTTTCAATGTACAATAAAACCATATCATCTATGATTTCCTTATTGCTAACTTGACTTTTACTTTTAATAATAACAATAATAATAATTCAACACAATGCACACAGCGCTATCTAGTTCCAAGCTAAGCAGAACTTGTGCTATGAGTACCAGACAACTGATAGAAATACTGAAATACATTTTGTTGTGTGTATATTATGCATGTACATACATAATATGCTTAGAAAGTACCTAGACCGATACTGTTTTACCAGAGCCATCATTATTTAATAATACAAATTTTATTCGAAAAAAAAAATCTAGAAGTAGGTGCTATTATTCCCCCTACATAACGTTTAGTTTAGACGCGAGATTATCTACTTGTTAAAATAAATTCAAGTAATTCTGTAAAATTCATAATATTCTTGTTCGTAAATTACATGGTATTAGGCTTGAAACTGAAAACTTATATGTAGCACCTAAAAGGTAAAAAATCCATTCATTAAATTAAACAATAACAGAGGCGTAGTTTATTTGCTTCGTAAGTGTATGTCATATTATGTATATAACAATGTGAGTTGTGACAAACAATTTAGTCCTTCGATTGGGGGCGATTGGGGTCAACTGCGCACCGAAGAGGCGACGTTGGTCATTGCTAACATTATATTACATCATGCGACAAACAGCCTGGAAAACTTATACCAATTATGTTCAATAAAGAGTTAGTTACTCGCATGTTTTGGATAATGATAATGTTTAATTTCTGTTACACATTAGGGCGGATAGTAATGGAAAAAGGCGGAATTGTCGTAACTTGAAAATCCCAATACACATCACATTTATACGTGTTTAGGAAGTATTTTGTATAGTAGTAGTAGTTAGGTATATGTTTCTCTTACTACTGTCAATATTTTTTGGAATAAGTAGATAAAATCACGATTTCGATGAGTTAAGGACGGATAATACGATATAGTAAGACGACAGAGTAGGTACCTACTGGAAATAAAATTATTGGCATTATGTGGAATTTATTTTGGCAGTTAGAGCTATTTTTTGGCAATATAAGTCGCGAGTAGGTACGCAAGTTGGTTTGAAAGTGTGGATGTAAAAATGAATAACGATGTGCATGCTATATTAGTTTGGCTTCTGCAAATATTGAGGTCCTTGCGTGAACATTATTCCAAATTTATTTAATAGTATTCAAGATATGTTATTATATAAACTCCATGAGATTATATGAATATTTATTATATGTAGTTTAAATTTATATTTTATTTATATGTAATCCATAAACTTATATATTTTATATTTTATATAAAAATACTAATATTTTTATATATTTGCATCTGTATATATATGTACTATTTTTCTGTATCTATTTGTTATAATTTTTGTTTTTCTTTTTTTTTCAATTAATTATTAAAGTGCACCGCCTTATTATCTCTGATCAACGCGACGGTTGACTGGTAGAGATGTATACATTTTTGTGTGCAAAAGAATAAATAAATAAATAAATAAATAAATAAATATTGCCGATATGAGAGATAGTAGAATAAATACACTTAATTAAAAAGTAACAGAAAAAACTTAGGTGTAACTTGAAATAAAAAATCTACAAAATCAGCTCATAAGAAGAATTATGAAAGTAGATGAAGTAAGAGCTGGAGTATTATACAAATAGGTATAGTAAGTAAAAAAAAGTTGGTACGGTTTCAATTTATGCGTTTAAAAAAACTTCTTTTTATTACTGTAGATTTTTATAATTAGTATTCGAGCATGTGTAATATTATCTGATAATATGTATTATGTTATAATTAATTAATTATATGATATCAGGATAGTTGTGCGTTAATTATTAGACTTCCTCACTGCCATGCACCGCTGACTGTTGAATGTTTACACCTCCACCAGCAAAAAGCAAACAGGAAACGAGCCCACACTTAAATTAATTGTCATGGATTATTATAATCTTTGTACGCGTACTTATTTCGTTTAACGACGGACGGTAATAATGTGATGGTACAGTACATCTTATTAAGTAACGATAAATCATAACTTTACACTTTTTATAAAGCCATTTAACAAAATAATGAGTTTTTGAGTAACTACTTAGACCATTCGCAACATACATATATGTTACTACCTACTAGTATGTAATATTATGTTATCTGTCCTACTACTGTAGACATGGCTGTACTGTAATTTTTTTTTGGTGTGCTTTTTGAACTAGCGAATAGTCTTAAATGTGATCTAGACTTCTAATGTCATAAACTCATAATATAAAACAATTTATATCATCAACGCACAATGTATTCTAAAACGAATGAGTAATATAATTTATCTTCCCCATAAAAAAGTATTTATTTTTAATTCGATATCTACCTTTATTGTTATATCTATCTAATGTATATGTTATATTTAATCATTACGTAAAATACAACGCATACTTTAAATAAATTATATTATATTCTCTAAGCTTGGTATACAAATATAATTTTAGAGTAAATAAATATAACTACCTAATTACTTAATTAAAGCACGGTAAACTATTATTTCCTCTATGATAAGAAATTAAATATTAAGAAATATTTTAAAAGTCGTATATCATTCTGGTAAGGTTTACTTTTCTACGATTCTTTTTTAGTATGTTACAGGTTTCAATTATTTTGATTTTTTTAAGTACAGGTAGCATAGGTAGGTATATAAACAATAACTGATTTGATTACTGTTTAGATTTTCTTTCACGTAGTAGATACTTACTCGACTTATACAAAATACAATAATAATATAACACTTGTTTATTTGAAAATATTTCTGACATCTTCATTCTGTCATACGGCTAATGCTAGTTCAGAAGCCAGGACTACACAGAAATACTAAAAAGATAAATATTGTCTTGAAAGTGTAACTATAAATAACATTGTGACGATCCTTCTGAGTGTTAAATAAGGATTATTATTATTATTCTTAAAAACGTGAATCATATTAGAAATTGTGTTATTATAAATCAAATTATATCATAAATATTCGGCAATTCTCTAAACGTACCAATATTTATTGGAAGTAAGAAACAATATAAA